ACAATGGTACAAAGCCATTGTAGTAATTTTGTTTTGTCAATACGTAAATAGTCCATAAATATTTAAACAGCTTAACCCTTGGGAACTTTCAAGAGTTTTTTTAATCACTTCCGTGCAATATTTGAATAAGAGTTTATTGTAGAGCACCAACTGAAATTCGGTGCTTCAGGATTTAGGTATTGCATTTTATCATTACTTTTGATATGACAGAAATAGAGTTGATGACCAAAATTAAACTGTGTCTAAGGGGCTAAGGGCTGATTTTTCAATCGTCAGATAACTTTCAACCGAAGAATAAACTTGTCATTTTGGCATATTTTCCATGCTGAAACTGTCAATGTGCCAAACTTATTCTTCGGGTAAAAGTTATCTGACGATTTAAAAATCAGCCCTTAACCAAATAGAGTTATTAAAATATTGTTGTCGTCTACTTTGAAGTAGAGGTGGGCGCCGATATAAAATTGGCCGGCGGCGGCGCGCCGACTTTTTGACCTCGGCGGCGGCGGCGTCGGCGGCGTGACCTTGTTTGACCTTTGTTCATTAGGTTTTTTTTTAATCTGCTTTTTTAGTATCTGTCGTCAAGACTAATCAGGTGATTTGCAGTTGGTTGGGGTTTGGGCCACTAGAGCAGTGGTTTACCCTAGTAAATTAGCTCTCTTGATCATAGATACTTTGATATTTGGATAGCAGGTCTGGCTGAGATCAGGTTCTCGTGTATTTCCTAAAGACGAGCGTACCAATGTGCCGATAAAAGTACCCTTAACATGTATTTTTGAGGTTTTGGAAGCACATAGTTAATGTTGGATTAGCTGACTGTCGGTGGAATATTATATTCAGTTCTGTTTTATTTATATTTATGGTCTTTCCATGTCATCCTACTGTCCAGGATTTTAATGCAGGTTGATTGCAACAATGTGTCGAGGTCTAGATTGGCCGGAGGATAAATTTCACATCTTAACTGATAATATGGTGAGACTTCGGGGCTTAATTACATGCTGACTTTGCAACAGTCTAGTCACTTTAAGATCACAGTTACATTTGAGGAATGCCGCAGCTTTCTGGTGTCTGGTGTCTGGATCAGACCAAGTACAGAGTCCTGGGGTACTCCAGCTCTGCAGCTAAAAAGAGAAGATTTTGTCACCGAGTTTGATGTAAAACTGTCTGTCACTGAGATAAGAATCCATCAGCAGGTAGTAGAAGTGTGCTAGAAAGTATTTTTTAATTTAATAGAGTAGTCCTTTATGATAAACCCAGCTGAAGCCGCAGCGAAAGCAGAAAAAATGTTTGAAAAAAAAAACGAGATTCTTTCTTTTCCAAACATTGTACTGATTATGGTTGGTATGGTTTCTGCCAAAATTTATGGTCGGGTATACTATATTACATGGGTCATACTTAGGCAAGGGAATAAACGAGCAAGAATGATCCTTTTCCATAATTTTAACAATACAAAGGTCAGATTAATTGAGCGATAAGAGAATTCGTTAGGCGACTTGCCAGCCTTATGGATCATTTCCAAAGTTAAGAGACTTGCGAGGTTCTTCTCACTCAGTGTGGTCATTGTCAAGACCATGGACTTCATGGTGATCAGATCAAACGCAAGTACTTTACGAGGGTCCATTTTGGCTATTTCTTTAGCTTAGCCATCTCTCTTAGCGTTAGTTCTTTTGTTTCAGCCGAACGACGTCCTGCGCCGCTCGCATTCAGGCACTTCCTGCGACCTTCCCCAAATCGTCGGTCCACCTAGTGGGAGGCCTGCTCACGCTACGTCTTCCGGCTCGTGGTCGCCACTCAAAAACATTACTGCCCCAGCGGCCATCAGCTCTACGAGATATGTGCCCCGCCCACTGCCACTTGATTCTGTGGGCTATGTCAGTAACTTTGTCCTCCTGCGTCTTTCGTCCTCAATTAGCGTAGTATGAATCAATCTTCTACTTTGAGCTTAAGGAGGGTAAGCGGAAACGTAACAGAGTAACGCTGAGATGGGTTCCAGGTCACGCGGGAATCGTGGACAATGAAAATGCCGACGAACTGGCCAGAGCGGGAGCGGAGGGAACACAATATGGTCCAGAACCCTTTTTTGGCATTCCCAAAAGTCTCGCTCGAATGACCCTGGAGAGCATATATTTAAACAAATCCTTTAAGGCATGGTCAGACACGCCAGGATTAACTCATTCCAAAGCTCTTATAAAAGCCTATGACCGAAAATGCTCTAAGCAGATCATAGGACTGAGTAGGATCAAAATGCGCATCTTAGTTCGAGCCTTCACTGGACACTGCAGCTTAAACAAGCACTTGTCCACTGTGGGACTGTCCGAATCAAGAACGTGCAGGATGTGCCAAGAGGCAGATGAAACGCCACTACACATTCTCACGGACTGCGGACCTTTGATGCGCGAGCGGAGCTTACTAGGCATGGAACATTTCATGAATAGCAGGTGAAAAATCATATAAAATGAATTTCATTAATCACACCTGCTATTTTACTTCACATAGACTGCTATAATTTCACAGTCAACGAAATCACGAATCACATGAATTTCATTCATTCATTCGAGCGAAGTCCGTGAGAGCAGCTCTGCGAAGCGACCGCGCGAGTAAGAAGGAATGATTTGATCATGTGCGTGTTAGAAAAGGACGAGAGATGTGATGACGGACAAAACTGGGCATTTTAAATATGAACTTTAAACTCAAAGGTGTAAGGTTTAGATTTCCTTGTCACGATTCGTATGATTTCATTAGATAGCAGGCAGATGAAATGAATGATTTTTCACTAGTCGCGCGGCTATTGATTGTTGCATATGTCGCAGCCGTATTGTATAATCCGCCGTTTTACATTACCACTAGGCATTTTACATTACAGCTCTGTTTTGTAATACGGCGGTTCAACGTTTAGGCGGATTGAAAACGGCTGAATGAAAATCCGCCGGAATGTATTCGGCGCCAAACGTTCTTCAATACGGCTAGCCGCAATGTAAAACAGCGTGTCATTACCCGCCGCTTTGACAATTTTTAGTTCCCATTTTCAATACCGTGGCGCTGCCTGACATAACAATAACTACAATGGCATCGGATGCAGAAAATGTGTTGCTAAATTACGGAGTTATTTCTGAATCTAATGAAGAAAACGTTATAAATATGTGTCGACAGTGAGTTTAAGAACAAATTTTAACTTGCAATTGTAGAATTTCTATTCTTCATAATGTGGAACAGTCAAAAATCCGTGGACAAGGGACCGAGTTTTGGAGGTTATAGCCCACATAAAAACCGCTAAAGTGGCTATGGATTCTGGTGTTTGGCGGAATCCTATTCAACATTATTGGTGCAAAAAGTTTGATCTTAGGACAGTGGCCGGTGAAGATTTTGAGATATCTTTTTATTTAAAATGTTTGTACCTTGTGACTACTCATTATGTTTAAAAATTACGAAAGCCAAATATTTTATTATATTATTAACTTTCAAAAAAAGTTTATTTGTTTTGAGATGGCTGTCCCCTGTTATTTATAAATATACAAAAAAAATGAAATAATCATTTCTAACAATGAAAATAATCATTTCTGTCTAATTTATAAACGTAATACTGAAGATATTGAATTTTAATATGAATGACTACTTGTAGGGCCTCGGTTATAATAAATTCCTACTAAAATACTTCGTCTCGTTAGATAAGTATTCGTATTCTAATCATTACTTCCACAAATGTATAGTACATTTGTAAATAGCAAATCGCAGAAAACATTCCGAATGAGCGGGTAAATAAATACGGTGCGATTTTATTTCGCGCGCAAATATTTTAGCGGCGCGTAATGTATTTATTGCGTTGGCGCGGTTAGTTTTTGCAGCTGTGATTTTAACACCGCGCCTTTATTTTATGTATATTGTATGAACAATGGTAAGGTAGGTATAATAGGTATGTAAACAGTATTCTTTTTGTCACAATATTCTTGTCGCTCTTTATTGTTTAAAAGGGTTTTAATAAGTTTTCCTATTCAAATATCTGGAACTTCGATCATACAATTAAATAATATTTCATATCCATTTTTATACAGACTTTATTAGACACTGCAATGGTACAGGTATATTTCAGGAGAAAGATACATTGTTTATGACTCACGACAAACTGAAACTACGTTAGGTATTCGACCAGCTGTAGTTTTAGGTGTTAATCAATTAAAAGAATAATGATACTTAAAATTATGTAGATCGGTATTTGGAACATTTATATTGACATAGTGATCTTGTGCTATAAAAACTTAGAGCAAGAAATCAAGATGTAACATATGTTCTGTTTATGTTCTGTTTATAAAGCAAAACCAAATCAAAGTTACAAAAAATACTGACCAAATCATTTAGCAACACCAGCAAACTCCCTCAATATCGACAGCTGCGCTCATTCTGGCAAAGCTCAATTGTACGGAAGCCTGCGCCGCTGGCTGCGCCGGCGCAGCGGACGTACTCGTCACCACGGGATCCTCCAAGTCCACTTTAATACAATTACAACACCATTGTACCCCGAGTTTTTGCTCCCCAACATTTTACACCACAACAATAAACTTATTTTGCCAACAATAATACTTACTAACTGTACCTCGGATACAATAAACTTGACCATGTCAGTCACGATGGACAATGTTTTTTCAACACTCAAATCTAACTGTTCTTACAAGACGATTGTGTTTGCACGTGAAGTGTTTACGGAGTCTGGACCAGATACGATCTTAATCTCAGATTAGTGGCGAGTTAAAAGCCATTGTCAGGTTGTCTAAAAGTGCTTCTTTATTCTGCTGCCACCTATGAGGGACAATTAAGGGTGTATTCCCACAGTGCAGTGGTTAATACAGACAGGGTATGAATCTTACTTTGTCACCAACATCCGGTTAAAAAACAATCTTTTGTGTATATGGTACGAAAACTCTGCCTATTTTGATTTTGTTTATCTCTATGTATTTTTTTTTGTTGTAAGTTTAATCTATGACATTTAATATATGTCAGCAATCAAAATAACACAGTCACAAACATAAATGCCGGTTTTTAATTAAAATTACAAAAATGATACCTTTTATGAGCTTCCCAATGTGTTCATCGAGGCGCATGGTTTCTTACACATGTTGCTTCGTCACCGTATGTTTAGTTTTACACGTTTGGATTATGACAGACATTTTTCGATTCGTAGACAACGTGTCTTCTGTGTTTTTTACGAGAAACAAAGGCCAAAGTATTCACGCTTCTACCAAACAATATTATAAAACTCGAACTACTACTGAAGTGAAATACGTGCTCATGTGGAAAAGATATTACTTGATTAAATCAAACGACGGGGTAGACATATTTCCAACGTTACACTGTCCAGTATCTAACTGCGTATTCACAGATAACAGGAAACTTTTAGGAAATGACTATAGCAATTTCGATGCCCTTATTTTTGACTACGAGCTTACAAAGAAAGACGATAAGCCGGTGAAGCGATCACGGTCTCAGATATACATTTTCACAACAATCGAGTCTTCGTACACGCAGCCTCTGTGTGAGGTGACCAATGATAATTTCTTCAACTGGACGTTTACTCCGCGGCTCGATTCTGATGTGTTGTGGCTGTATTTTGTGGTAACGGATACTAGCGGAACTGTGGTAGCTCCACGTCGAAATGTGAAGTGGAAAACCAGTTTGGAACCTGTGAGACCTGAAATAAAGACTATTTTGCGTCGCAAGAAGAAAACGGCAGCTTGGCTCGTTAGTCACTGCACAACAGATAGTTTCCGGGACCAGTACTTGTCGCGACTGCAGGAGCATCTCTACCACTACTCGCTGCGAATCGACGTGTATGGCATGTGCTCGAACAATAAGTGCCCCAACGACAACTGCGACGAGTTAATTAAAAACGAATATTACTTTTATATGGCTTTTGAAAACTCATTCGCCGTGGATTATGTTTCCGAGAAAGTTTTACATGGCTACAATAATTACGCCATCCCCATTGTGTATGGCGGTGCAAATTACAGCAGGTATTATAACGATATATTGTTTAACGTATTCCTTAATTAAAGCTTATTGCCTCTTATTAAAAGAAGCTCGGTATAAACTAGGACGAGATGATATCAGATAAACTTCGATTGATCACTTAGACCTTTCTGTTTCAGATTCCTTCCACCGGGTTCCTACATCAACGCCAGAGAAATACACCCTTACAACCTGGCTTACATAATACAAGAGGTGGTGAAAACTCCTGCCCTTCAGGAAACCTTCTTCAGGTGGACCAACCTTTACAAGATAACCGATGACCCGAAGGTTTACCACCCCCTCTGCGATCTCTGCAAAGCTCTACACAGTACCAAAGCACTGTTTGCTCCAGCAAAGAAGAATATCAGGGTTTGGTGGAACGGCCGTAACGGCATGAAGTGGTGCCTATCTGACAGCTACTGGAACGAATCATCCAAAGTCAACATTGACGCTAAGCATATTTTTCCTTTGTATTAATTTTTTACCTTTATTTTTGATATATTTGTTTATATTTTTATATTTGTTTTAACCTATTTCTAATTTTTTTTAATGCTAACATATTTTGTTCTTTGAATGTTTTAAGAGAACTAATTAAACTATTTCGTAATAATCTATTTCTTTCAACATTATCTGTCTATTAAGTGAATCACAGTTTAATCTCCTATAATTACATTTCCCATCAACAAAGCCATAATATCTCCAATCTACGCCGGAGAAGCAATCTCCCGCCGCGGAGCTTAGCGAAAACCTCATCAACCCCAAACTATACTGTAAGACTTAAGACTTCATTGAAACGATAGTTTTCTAATCCACCTACACACAATAACAGGCAGGACGTTATTAATTTCATACCACAAAAGAGCATGTTGCTACAAATATCCTCACAAAAGAACTGGAGTAATTAACGCACAGTCGCATTGGTTGAATCCGTCGCCGGTCCCTGGGGAGGCGTGGGCAAATCGCACAATACAGTAGTTAGGGAATAGGGGCGCGTATCGGCGGCCGTTTAACGAGCAAATTATTTAGTAAATGTTGCCAAATAATAACATTAATGCGTGGGGTTGTCAACTCTGCCGCCGCGTGGGCTTGGGTGGATAAGACGATCGATCTTAAATAAATATAAATAGATATTTCTTAGTAAACAGTCTCATAATCTCACTGAACTCGTGGCTTATGTTTAAATTTAGACACTTAGAACAAAAAATAAGTATCCACTTACCTAAATATTTATTTGAGACGTTCAAAAATAATCATAGTTAGCAGATATTTTATAACGATTGTAAGTAAATAGGTATTGGTAGAACTCTTTTATTAAATAAGTAAAGGTAGAGCTTTAACAATGGTGTAGGTACTCTATTTAATTGCCTCAATTCATACCTTCATGTTATTATGGACTGGAATTGAAAATGACGCATTGTGGATTAGGCGTTGTCTGTGGAAAATAATCATCATCATCATCATTTTATCTTTACCCATCCACAGCTCAACAGCTGTGGATGGGTAAAGATAGTGTGGCCGGGTGAAACAATAAATTCGTATAGAGCATCAAGTTTCATCTTTTTTTACAAAGCATCAAAAAGGCAATCACTTCAGGGAAGGTTCTTCAAGAGCAAACAAAGCCTGTCCTATCCTTCTAACCTCAACAAAAGTTAGGGGAGGTCCCGGCGGGTGGTTAGCCAATGAGAGCGAGCGCTCTGCAAACAGTGAGCACCGCACGATTGAGTGGCTCTCCTCGAATACTCTCGAATGCTCTCGATGCTCCATTGTTCGCGGCAATTAAGAGCTAAACGCCAAATTAATGAGCACATTATTATGTTAACGCGTGACGGAGCAGCGACAAAGTCTTGCGGCGATTGGCTTGGAAGTAATGGCCGTTTGATGGGAAAATAATGTTAGAGGGTGATGTCAATTCTGAGGTCATGTTGGGCACCAGTAAGTTTATTACTAAAAATAATTCCAAGTTACAGAGGTACGTGAAGCTAAACTTTCTGACTCTACTATAGGGAATTAAGAATGTAACCAAAACAATACACTACATTTTTCATCACAATATTAAAACCTTAGGAATGTTCCTCAAAAAAATCCAACATATTCAAATTACAAGTGATCGGTTGTCATCAAAAATGCCTTGGTAAAAAACATAAAACACCAAAGAGCTTGCCAGTAAGCGGGTCTTAGCAGGCGCTCCCTTGGGACGGCGTCCCCGCAAACGGAATAGGTAATTCAATAAACTCCGGAACGCGCGGCCTAATACCGAAATTAGCAATACGATATGAATAAATAGATTTCGGTCTCGTCCCAGCAGATGTCATGGGAATAGCGCAAGGGGTTTCGGTCATTAGTTCGGTAAGTATTGGGTTAGCGAATATTAGCACGTTTTGTCCTTGTAATGAAGGGTTGCGCCTTACGGATAAACAGAGCAAAGAATATGTCGCGGTGAGTTTGCTTAGTGAGGCAAGCTAGGAGATTCATGTTACGCATTACGAACTGTTTCGGCATTTATTAGAACAGTTTTGAAACATTTATTTTACTTTATTTTTTATTTGGAACCTTAAAATACGAGGTTCTATTTAACCGGTGCTATGAGTTTTTCACTTTCATTGATAATTTTCTTAATTCTTATTGTAGACCGATCAAAATCTCTAGACATCAGTAAACATCTCATATCTGTTCAGCATCTCATGTAGCAATGTAATGGCATTGTTAGCAACAACATGGCTGTCAATTATAACGGTAGCATCGAGCGCAGAGATACGGCAATTAGCCGAGAGCAGGAAGCCCGCGCGCCTGCGCCGCGCCTAATTGTTTCCGACATAGTCTTCTTGCCCCCCTGCTCCCACCCTCTTGCCTGCCAACCCTCAGGGCTGTCAGATGGATTTTCACGGTTCATAGTTGTTAAATTTTGAACGGTGTTTAAACAGCAATAACAACAAGAACACAAAAACGCTTATAAACTCTGATTCATCATGTAATCATTGCATTTTTAAGGTGACAATGCGTTAATGCGTTTATCATTATACAGTAATGAAGCATACCATATGATACAAGAACCAACTTGAAATACAGCATTCTAAGCAGTTCAATCAAGGTAATATACATACCTAACCCTAACATACATACATCTCGGTATGCTATGAAGCACTCTTCTAATCAACACTTCCACTATTGCCTATGATGTTGGTAGGACATAATATCCAAAATCCGCAGCTACGAGTAAGCTCCGATGTAAAACTTGTTAAGCGTGATTCAAATATTAAAAGGTACTAAAGTATGTTAACTAAAACCTGTAACTGAAAATGTTTCCTACAATTTCGAAAATTATAAATAACTTGAAAAAATCGAACTGCCTAAGGCGGGAATTGAACCCACGACCTTTCGCTTGCCGCTAAAAACTGAACTCTTAACGCCCAAAAATTTAATTTCCTACAAATCTTTATCAATAGTGTCAATAAGCTCTACAAGAGAAGTCAAGGCCGACTACATGGGACCATATGAAGTTTTTACTAGTTGCCAACTAGCCTTTAGTAGCCTGCCAACCCTGGTCCATGGAGGCTGCAGCGACCCTCGCCTCGGGCGGAGGAGGTGGATGTTACAGCGCTGTAGCTCGCGTAAATATTGGGAAAATAATATCCATTTGCAGGTGCATCGCACAGCCACGAAATAAATATAACGCGTGTTACTTGTGCGGTGGGAAAACGGAGTGACAACCAAAAATATTTTTAAAGCTGACTCTTTCATTGACTTCAGTTGAATTAGTTTTCTTAGTAGTCAGTTACAACGAATACTCTCTATTTTAGGATAGTTAGTTTTTTGTGATATCATGTTAAAGAGTGTGGAATGTGGATAAGTATATGAATGAGTTTAACCTATGTATTTCTAAATACTTAGATTGATCCTAATGATTTCAAAATTTAACAATAAAATTAATTTCGATAATTAAACAAAAACTATCCTAATAAAAGTACTTCGTTAAGAAGTAACCAGCCATTTAAGTAATTGAAACAGATTACCGTAATGCGAATCGTGCCTATTAATCTTCAAGTGCTTCCAGATAACGACGTACCGATATTAATCAGTGCTTCACAAAGCGGCAGTCACAACAGCGCCGTCGGCAATTCGTCACGCGGGCGATCGCACGCGCAGGCACGTGCGGGCAATCCCGGACAATTGCGGACGGCATTGTGTCCGGACGGTCCGGACGCTGCGCGCGAAAAACGCACCATTGTGCGGTCTCGGTGTCGGTGACGGAGATTGACCAGTGATTGGGCGGCTATCATAGGTGCAACGAATATTTTTAAGCTAGAGAAAGCACGTGCAATGCAACATATGCGCACGATCCTTGATGGGACACGCGGACACGCCTATCGCCGGTCAAAGTATCAATGGTCAATTGTGCATTTTATGAAGGCTCGATTTTTTAGAAAAAGAAGTGTTGAATTTCAGTAATGCGATCAACTTTAACGGTCAAATTGCATTGAGCATTGGTCAAGCAAATACCTACATTTCGCAGTAAAATGACAACAATGATGACAATGAGCACGGGCCATATACCTCGGATCATGTTACACTAAACTCTACATAATGAATGCATTACATTTCTCTATTCTTCTATCATCTTTTTTTAGGAAAATCTTTTCTAAAATGTTTTTATTGATCTTTTCGTGTATAATCATATTGTTAAATAGATTTAATCAAGTTAAGTTCATAAAAATCTCTTCTGAATTTTAAGAAATGTTTGAAAGAGAAAAGTAGAAAAGAACCGAGACTAATCTCAGTTATACTTATTACTTCTTAAGAGTTTATCATTTTGTTTGTTAAATATAAAGCAACATAATATGAAAGGATTGGACATAATAACAACGTTGGAATAAAACTGTGAGCAACAACATTCGGCGTAATAGAGGCGATCCGGGGACGAGGGATAATAGTTCGTCATCCGATAATAGCGGGCTTAACACGGCGCAACCCTTTGTGGACGATTGTAAAACTTCACCAAAACATTTTCACGATCTGATTATTTATTCGCCCTAGACATTTAATATTCGCAAAGTGAATGTTTTATCGCAAACGCCGGATTTGCCGGTGTATTTGCGGCAAACAGCCGACTGGGAATTACTGGGCTTTAGCGCTCATTTCATTTCCCGCATTAAAACATATTACATCTGTTTTTGGATACGATACAAAACACTTTTGTTATGCTGTAATCCGTATAAATATTTGCCTATTATTTCCAATAATACGATTCCATCCGATTATGTTGAATTTATCATTACATCGGTTTATATTTCAGCGAATAAAAGTTATTACTGAGGTATTAATGCAAAGGAAAGTGTTTTGTTATGGATACTTATTACATTGTTGGGGAAAATGGAAATTGGATTATTCGCTTCATGCACACTGACTATCTAATTACGCTATTAGTGAGTGCTCTCACTAACATTTCTTATTTTGTTTACAAAAGAAATAAAGTTGCTCAATGTTTCTTATTGTTCTGAACAACATTGTCATTTTATATTACTACAGCCCTTTGATAACGAGAGTTTTTCTCGCAACCCTTCACGTCAGTCACGCCGCGGCGTGTAACGAAATGAAATATTCACATCACACGTTTTACAAACCCTCGCTTCATCGTAACAACCACTTTCACCATCGGTTCTGTCAATTTATATTTGCCTGCAATCATTAATGCAGCCGTCGCGGGTACCGAGTACCGATGTTTTTGCGAGAGAGCACTGCGGGGCTGGAGACATCCCCTGCTCCCCGCGACTGGTGCTGCGGTGGACGAGCGAGGGGCGCCCTCGGCCATCTCCCGGGCATAATTATATCGGTCTCGATGCGCAAACTAAACTAGCCGAATAAATAGGTGTCAAGAGCAATGCGTCAGAGCGGCCCGGGGGGCGGACGTGCCGCGTAACCGGAGCCACTCGCCTCATAATGCTACATAATTCAATTGATTTCCCCGACACTACCCGCACGCTTCCTTCTAACTTCGTTTAGAGCGTTTTGATATCGGATACCGTTTTGACGCCTCCTTGTGCAATTCTTTCTCAGTCGGGGGAAAATAAGAGGCAGAAATTGATTAAGTGGTTGTATTTAACAAAATAAATAAACGATATGGCACTTAGAATCTAGTGATGGTAAGAGTAGGCGGGGGATGAGTAGCTCACGTGTCCGACAGGTGCAGCGTAGGCTACTTTGGCGGGCGCAGCGTAGGCGACCTGAGCGGGCGCGGCGTAGGCGACTTGATGAGCGGGAGCGGCGTAGGTGACTTGATGAGCAGGAGCGGAGTAAGAAACTTGGGCGGGAGCGGCGTAAGAGACTTGGGCGGGCGCGGCGGCGTAGGAGACGTGGGCGGGCGCAGCGTAGGAGACCGGGGCCTGTGCGTAGGCGACCTTAGACACGGGAGCGGCGTAAGCCACCTTAGCTACGGGAGCAGCATAGGCGACCTTGGCGACATGAGCGGGCGCGACGGTGGGGTGGCCCTCGTAGCGCACGACGGCGTTGAAGCCGTGCTCCTTGTCGGCGGTGTACTCCACGATGCGCTGGGTGCCATCGGGCTGAATCAGCGAGTAGTAGCCGTGGACAGCGTCTCCGTTACGGTTCTCCTTCTGCTGCTTGATGTCGCCGCTGTGCTGGTCCTCCACGGTGTAGGAGTATTCGTACTGAGCAGGTTGCTCGGGCTCGGCATACGCTAGTTTGGCGAGTGGCACAGCGGGGACGGCCACAGCCGCTGCCGCAGCTACGAAGCAGAAGAAGACCGCGATCTGTAAAATTGAGAAAAGAACATTATTTCACTTTCATAGCAATTGATCACAAATTAATAAAAACCAATTTTGTTCATATAACTAATAATCGTTTAAGTCATTAAAATGTAGAGCTTCTGAGCTTTCATCCCAATTTGACATATCCCGAAAACGTTTAGATGAGTTAACCGAATTTACATCATTAACACATTCTTTAATCTAATTAAATTAATTATTAATCTCAACTTACTTTGGCAACCATGTTGTTTGTTTTGGTTATTTGGAGCAAGTGTGCCCCTGCCGGCACGCAGCTTGCTTTTATACGGCCACGCTTGGGGACGCTGCGTACGCGCCGCAAACTGGATCGGTTATGTAACTCATTGATCCACGCGTTACTCACTAACGGACGCGGGGGATCCATCAATGTAATCGATATTGGTTTAATTACGATATCATAATAGTACATCGAAGTTTTTGGTAATAAAGTTTTAGATTACCCCTTCTTCACACATACTCGTAAAACGTTATCCAGTTACTTTTTTATCTTCCGGGAACGCAATAAACCTAGGATAAAGTAAATTTGTCAATTTAGGGAAAATGGCTCATCAAACTAAATGCTGAGGCATGTTGTATAAATTAGATGTAGGTAATCGGTGCTAATTTGCATTATAAAGCTGTATAATGATTCGCTAACGACAATCTACGTACAATAACCAAATCGTTTGAAATGAGTGAGTGCAATAAGAACAATTAACAATAACAATCATTTTTCTTTCAATATAAACCCTTTACAAAAACTTTGATAGAACCAATAGGCTTTATAACAAACCAATATAACTAATTTTCTATATCTTTGAAGATCATTGGTAAGTTTGTATCTATATTTCTATCTATAATAGAAATCAAACTAGGGAAACATCACACTCTAGCCTCGTGTTGCTCTACATAGTCTTCAACAGAATAAGTTCATACTTAAGCAGTAACTAACATATTCATTACTGTTTAAGTAATAATGGCTCTTAATCTCTCCCTAATTGCACAATGGAAAAAATTAATCAGTTCATCAGAGTCGATGAATAATGCCCCGATCGGGGTCATTATTACGGGCCGGCGCGTAATGTGTTTACACACGAGTGCCTCAATTGAGACACTTGTGCCACACCCAGTGTTACTTCAGACAAGCTGGACCACAAAAATGTATCACAAATTATAATTAGATTACATAGACCTAGATCAACATCAACTCTTAGCTTGGCGCAGACCACCGACTTTTAGTTGGCCGATAGTTGGGTCAGTCTGTTTTAATCAGTATGGACATGTATGAAAGTGGCAAAGTGCGTACATTACATCGGCCTATTCTTTATACAAATTAGAATCGGGTTCAACTACGAGTATCGGCCAATTAAAAGTCGATGGTCTGCGGGTACTCTTAAATCATGGATGTCGCTACAGGAAAAGCTGTTTAACTTTGCGACAAATAACTATGTACCAACTGGGAGGTAGTTAGTACGTAGATGCACATAACCAATGCATACAGTAGTAGCCCGAGGAGGTCTTTATTATTTGTCTTCTACTTTGCACTTGACGGGGGTCGATCCTTACTCGAATCTCTTCTAATTTTCTTCCGAATCATTCCTTTTGTAGGTGTCCTTTTGTAAGACACTAACGTACTCTGTTTTTAGTTAAGCTGTAATATCTTGGGTACATAGCAGTCACAGTATGGGTACATAGAGGCTCCTTAAGAGCAAAATGACGATTTGTAAGAACTATTTATTAGTCTAAACAAATAAAGAAATTTTGACTTTTGACTTTGACTTTGAGTGGTGGGGAAGATATAGAGTTAGTCCTATAAACCTAGAGGTACCATATAGATTGCAATTTGCCTCGCAAATGTCTTATAGCAAAGTATTTAAACATAGCATAAACAATAACATTAATCACAACGAGCAACTTTAAGTTTGCGAGAACGCTTTGTTACACACGACTGCCTGAAACCACTATAGCCACACCCAACCTTTAAGAACTACTAAAGTATCTAAGTATATGGATACCCAACTATTTGCTATGCCAATGAAGAGCAACTCACAGATATTACACACATACGAGTAGAACAATACATTTTGCGTAGTAACATTGAACTAAATCATGCAAATCTTTTTTAAAGATAATCGTATGCTTTCAGCTAAATGGCTGTTAGCTTTGTGACAAAATAAAATAGGCACAACTTAATGTCGTTGGGGGTTTACCTATTTATTCTCAGAAAAGTGTTTAAAAGTATTTTCTTCGGTAAAAATATTATCGTAAACCTAACAACAAAAACTTAAGTGTTAAAAAAACAGGAATTTCGTTTATTTTGAGCGACTAAACAAAAATCGTAGCTTTTGTCCCGAAGCGTGTAGTAATCGTTGAAAGTTCAATGAGTCGGCAAACAGTGACTGACTGGAATTGACTGGACCTCAGTCGGGTCAAACACTCCAGCCTCACCCTAGAACAATCTAAATAATATTTTTTATTGTACTCTTATGTACAGTCGACAGCACTCAAGCTATTTTTAGTTTAGCCCGGGCGAGAATGGCATCAAAGTGTGGGCGACAGATTCATATCCATATTATCTTCAATGATATAAATAAAGTAAATTATTAGCCTTAATATTTTTTATTTCTAATCAACACATAAGTACTTAGATATGAGTGGTAATAGGTAACTGGTTTACACAAGACTGGCAACTTTGTAAGTACAAAAGAAATATTCTAAAATATTACTTAGCACTAGAATTACGTCATTTTATTTCAATTATGAAAATGTCTGAAATGCAAATAACCAATATCTTTGTAACACCCCCAAATATTTCAGTGCTAATACAAACAACACGCAAATTACAGTGATTACCGATTCTTATATCACACAAAACGTATCGTGCGCATAATCGCCGGCAAACACAGCGCTCTTCCTCTTGGTTACGGAAGCGCACTTTTTTACGTTTCCGATAGCTGGTCAGACGGTTTTTGTTAAAACAGCGATATTGTTGTTAAAAGTGTTGCAAACAAAAAAGTGCATATTGTATTGGCTTAATGTCTAATATTGTAAAATAGCTAAGTCCAATGTAAAACAACTGATGAGTGTGATTAACATAGAGGTACTTAATATATTTATGAAGATCCACATTTGAACTCTATCTCATAATATAAATGTAAAAAGTGATAATCTGAAACTCGCTTATTCGATAAAGCAATTATTTGTAAAGAATATCACTTCTATGTTCACTTAATAAAAGTAGGAGTGTGTTCTTAGTAGCAAATCGTTTTGCACTTGTATCGGCGACACATCATCTAAGAAATTTAACAAGTCAACTACACTCGCGAGCAAAACTATGGAATCACTTACATGAAGTTGTTTCCACGCGAACTTGTGTACTAACGAATTTGTTAGGAACAAAAAAAGTGGCACCATTTTAAAGATTAAACTTTTATCTTTAAATTGATACCAAATTCATTTAAATCACACCAGTATTTAAAAAGATATCCCGGCTGATGTGAAGAAGTAACGAAAAAGACATGTATGAACTGTTTGATACGTCGCGAGTTGCGGCCTATTTACCCCCTATCAAAGCATGCGTTTTTAGATTTTTGCTTTCACACGTTGATTCATAAACATCTCCGCTTCTTTTGACACTTTACCTGGGATTCTACACCTTCAGAAGCAGCACAAATCGTTGCACTATTGCAAGAAAGGCTCAGCCAGCGGGCTGTCGCACGTCAGCGCCACATAAGCCAGTCCTGGGTTTCGAAAGTTTCAAGACGCTTTCGGGAGACTAGTGGCTTTATCCCGAGACCAGGTTCTGAACAGCGCCGGTGCACATCGCAGAGGGAAGACCGTTTTTACATGTCAACCTCTCTATGAAATCGTCATTTGACTGGAATCGATGTCCATCAAGAGCTCAGAAATGTTCGTAAGATAGCTGTTAGCGAGTGGACAGTTCGTCTAAGATATAAGCAATAGAATTTGACTCCAAAAAGGCCTGCCACAGGCTCGAAACTGACGGCAGGTCACCGATAAGCACCCTTTCAATTTGCTCGTACACATCTCGATGGGAAGGCGAGTAATGGAGGCGAGTTCTGTTCTCCGATGAATGCAAACTGTGTTTGCAGGGCAGCAGTCGAAGAGGTCGGGTTTATAGGCGGCCTGAGGAGCGATTTGTGCAGTGCTGGTTCGCTGAAACAGTGGCTTATGGGGGTGGCTTGCTCGACTTAACATCGAGATGTGTACGAGCAAATTGAAAGCGTGCTTATCGGTGACCTGCCGTCAGTTTCGAGCCTGTGGCAGGCCTTTTTGGAGTTAAATTCTATTGCTTATGTCTTAGACAAACTGTCTACTCGCTAACAGCTATCCTACGAACATTTCTGAGCTCTTACTGGACGTCGATTCCAGTCAAATGACGATTTCATAGAGAGGTTGACATGAAAAAACGGTCTTCCCTCTGCGATGTGCGCCGGCGCTGTTCAGAACTTGGTCTCGGAATAAAGCCACCAGTCTCCCGAAAGCGTCTTAAAACTTTCGAAACCCAGGACTGGCTTATGTGGGGCTGACGTGCGACAGCCCGCTGGCTGAGCCCTTCTTGCAATAGTGCAACGATTTGTGCTGCTTCTGAAGGTGTAGAATCCCAGGTAAAGTGTCAAAAGAAGCGCAGATGTGTATGAATCAACGTGTGAAATCAAAAATCCGAAAACGCGTGCTTTTATAGGGGGTAAATAGGCCGCAACTGGCGACGTATCAAACAGTTCATACATGTCTTTTTCGTTACTTCTTCACATCAGCCGGGATATCTTTTTAAATACTGGTGTGATTTAAATGAATTTGGTATCAATTTAAAGATAAAAGTTTAATCTTTAAAATGGTGCCACTTTTTTTGTTCCTAACAAATTCGTTAGTACACAAGATCGCGTGGAAACAACTTCATGTAAGTGATTCCATACTTTTGCTCGCGAGTGTAGAAATTAGAATTGGCTATTGTAGCATTTTATTATTTTCGTAGCTCGTAGCAAAATAATGTCCTAATACTAAAGACTTAAACGCAATTTCGTAGCAAATGATCTCTAATTGGTGTTGACGACAGTCTACTTACGCACTCAATTTTATGGGCTTAAGTCGTTAACCTTCACTAACGCATTAGTATTATATGTCCCAATTTCCTTTATTTGGAGCTCAGATTCTCACATTACACATGTATATTTTCGTGAAATCTCTTGTATGTCCTCTTGTACAAACTGGTTCAACTACATCTTTACCAATTAAGCCCCGTATCACAGCACGCTACCAAGCAATAAATTCTCAAATATTAGTCTCTAATAACACCAAAACTCGTCTCACAACTCGGCAACGATTTGCAATACGGGCCTAAACGTACACGATATTACTCATAAGGTATTGATCTAGTTTTAAATTGCTAAACTATTGATTTACATAATCTGGGTACGTTTGATGCAAAAGCCATATTTTATATCTTTGTTGGCAATGTCCAAATTAATTGTAAAATATTAGATATTTGTCACATGCCACCTTAATGGTTGGTGGTGATTATGAACGACTTGAAATAATGTGTGCTTGCAGCCTACACGGGTACCTAATTGCTTTTTCATTGCAACATTTGTACAGGATATATTTTTGATTAGAAAATATCTAAATGTGGCATGACGTTTATAATAAAAGCTGATTGTTGTAGGTACCTAGATTATTGAAACATTTTAAAAAAATCGTTCAATGAAAGTAAACTAACATGTTAACAGTGTAATTAGTTTAATAACAGGGTTTCAATAATTTATATTTCCTCGATTGATAACATTGAACCAAATGAAAAAAAAAGTTGTTAATGATCTTTCTTGAAACCTTCCCTTCGACGTATTCTAGGAAACATTCATCCAATTAACTTTAATATTGAACGACTATTTTGGTACGCCGAAATAAAAAAACAGGTGGCGGGCCTTGGAACATAAATGGAGTACAAAATACCTACATACTTATCTTGACATCTGCGAACATGTCAGACATAATTTAACAATAGGCGATTTATGCAGTTCACTAATCTGACTCGTGATACGTGTATCATGAACTCCACCCAGTCATGTCGGTCAAGGCCTGGGTCAAATTAGTGACCAGACTACTTTTAATTTCTCTACACGCACACAGCCACTCCAAAAAGACCTCCCAAACAAAGATCTGCTCGTACAACTGTCCAAGATAACGTAGAAAGCGAGAGCTCTCCCATAACTGGTAACATACCTGTTTATTTTAGACGTGTTTCCAATATGCTATTTTTAATTTATTATGATGATATGACCGTAAGTAATAAACGGAGTCGCGTAAGTTTGGTAATGGATCGTTTGAGGTGTAGGTAGTGTGGTTGTATTTGTTACAACATAATACAATATATCGCTTTTGAATACTCCTTTTATAATATGTTTTATGTATTAATGTCATGAAGGTATAGTTTGTTTAGTTTTTTAAGAATATTATAGTATTTAAATAATGCAACGTAAACAGTGCCTAATGTTCGTTACATTACCATTAATAAGTTATTCAACGTTTATTGGTTTTCTAACTCGAATTCTTGTGCGAATTCTCAAGTTTCTGTAATCAATTCGTTACAACTCCAAAGTATTGATTAGTGTGTGTGGTTCCACGTACAGTCACGCTCATAGGGATTGGTGTTTGGTAGAGCCACCTACGCACAGGTATTAATTAAAATAATATACAAAACTTCTTCGAATTAAATACATTAATCTCTAAGGAAAACCGTGTGACTTAAAGGAATGGTAAAATACACACATTGGTATACCTAGTAGCGGTACTTATTCCACTTTACTTTTCAAGTGTAAAAAAGATATCACGCACTTTTGAACCTGTGGCCCCGTGGTTAAAGAATTGTCAAGTAACTCTTTCAACTGGAGTTTCCAAGTTCTATTCCCAGACGAGACATACCGAAGATAGTGTAAAATCGTTGTAAATTTTTGTTAACTTGTTTTGGGTATTTTACGGTTGAATAAATGAATATTATAAAAAAATACTTCCACTTCATTCAAAATCAAAAATATTTTATTCAATTTTGACCACTGCTCTACACAAACAGACACTTTTCTCTGTTTTTAATCTATGTCTTACCTGCTTGTATACGAAAGGTATACAAGCAGGTAAGACATTTTTAAATGTTGCAAATAAAAAGTTTTCTATTCTATTCTATTCTATTCACTGCAGTGCACTGGTGGCACTTATTAGAGCAAGCAGGTTAATTCCTCTGCTTCCGATAAATATTTCTGTCGGAACCTTGTGCCAAAAATTACATCATTGTTTTGCCCGTGAATATGGCGCTATCCGCGAAACCTGTTGTGTTACTCGCATTTTCCGTTAAACTTGGGCAAGGGCGCGCCATAAATGGTCAAATTAATCTTTATTGTTGAACATTTTTCGGTTAAAACTTAACGGAGTAGACTCTCCATACAATTGAACGATCACAGAGTTTACGGGATTAAGTCATCATAATCATTCTAATACGAGTAGGTATACAATGGTCTCCACGGCATGCATGTTCGAGTAAACAACGCTACCACTAGGCCACCTATCTGGGGGCACGGCAGTGCCCCCACCAAGTCGAGCAAAAAAGCGGCACGGCCGTACCATCCTTTTCTCGAAGCAATTCAGGCCATTTTCGACTGCCTGTAACTTCGTTGTGGATAAAACTAGAAGGCTGAATTTTCATTAGCTATGCAGGCATTGTAAAGACACGGTATATTTAAAATTTCATTCAATTTGAACCAGTAGTTTAAGAATTATAACGGGTCAAAGTTACTTAATTTTGTCACTCACTGACTCACTGACTCACTGACTCACCGATCATCAAAACTCTAAGGCACTTCTAGCAGACCTAGAAGCTTCAAATTTGGAATATAAGTAGTGTTTGGTGTATGAATCAAGGAAAAACTAAAATATTTGGGGGCACGGTAGTGCAACCGCCAAGTCGAGTAAAATTTTTCAATTTCGGTCCAGTTTTCTAGATACATAACTGCTGTCTACAAAATACAAAAAGAAATGAGATCCCATCAAAAACAATACTTGTCAAAAAAACCAAGTCTCGCAACTCAGTTGTTCTACGGTAAAAAGTTGTGAGATCCATGTAATACCAAGTCCAGGCCAGGAAATCTTTAACGTTTTACATAAATATATTGACTTGGCCATCGCATGAAAACACGTGTAAATTAAATTATTTAGTGCGATGGCCAAGTCAATAATTTATGTAAAACGTTAAAGATTTCCTGGCCTGGACTTGGTATTACATGGATCTCACAACTTTTTACCGTAGAACAACTGAGTTGCGAGACTTGGTTTTTTTGACAAGTATTGTTTTTGATGAGATCGATCTGTTCCGATGCAATACCATCATCTAATACCAATGATATTTGTTTTAAATCTTTATTATTTTACTAGCGGCCGCCCGCGACTTCGTACGCGTGGATCCCGTTTTACCACCTTCATCTATCTTACGCGGTTTAGATTTTTTCATACAAATGTTTTTTTCCCGCTAACTCCCGTTCCTGTGGGAATTTTGGAATATCCTGTTCTAACTAAGCTTTAAGTTTACTAAGGTACCTGCATGTCAAATTTCAAGCGTCTAACTTAAGCGGTTTAGGTTTTTCATACAAAAGGATTTTCTTACTAATTCCGATTCCCGTGAGAATTCTTAAGTATACTATAACCTGCCCAGGAGTATGAAGGATAATTGTACCAAGTTTCGTTAAAATCCGTCGAATAGTTTTTGTTTCTATAAGGAACATACAGACGGACAGACAGACAGACAGACAGACAGACGGACAGACAGACAGACAGACAAAAATTTTACTGATTGCATTTTTGGCATCAGTATCGATCACTAATCACCCCCTGATAGTTATTTTGAAAATATATTTCATGTACAGAATTGACTTCTCTACAGATTTATTATAAGTATAGATATAGATATTCCGACCGGATACCACTCTTTAAATTAATTTTAATAAATGTACGATCTATTCCGAACTAATACCATACTTATTATTATTCTGTGCTAATACCAAAACAACATGAATCTTGGTACAGTCAGCTAGAAAAATGATTTAATTTATAATGATGATACGATTGTAACACAATGCCTTACTTGTACTTAATAGTAGGTACTAGACTATTCTAAAACTCTATATTAACTTTAATACAATATTTTTACATACAACTTATAGAACAAGTTCAATTGAAACCTTTTGTTTAAAAATTTTACCTGCGAAAAAGTTGTTTGCCTGTGATAAACTAGGGTAATTTTATAGTATGAGCCGTATCAGATCAGCGGCTATTATGGTACAACTTGCATTGCATACATTACAAATACCTACAACCATTAGAGGTCAAAGGTCACATTCAGATTTCATCACTACGTCTACAGGTGTTGTCGTCGCTATGTCTGGAGTTTCCATGTGCCTGAGCTTGCTGGATATTCTTACATTGTTGTACGAAGTAGTAAACCGCCCTGTTCTTGTTTAAAAGAATATGGTCCTTAATATAAACTTCTGAGACTTGATGTGTAGCACTGACACAGTTTCGATGCTCTTTACATTCGATCGAGTTCCTTAAATTATTAAGACCAGTTGTGTCAACGGCCACGCTGTCTACATACTTTTGAGAAATTGCGTCAGATTTAACTACCGCAACCATGGTTAAAGACTCGAAGCAGTGTAGAACGAATGCTGGACTTACAACTGGGCTTAGAATAAGTAAAAGCTAATTATGTTCTTCAAATCTTTTTATTTTATTGTTTAGGTCTATCTATAACAATTCGTTTCAATAAATAATAACAGTCATTATTAGACTACAACAACAACAGCTTAGTGATGGTAGGAGATAACAGGGGATGAGTAGGAGACGTGAGTTACGGGTGCGCTGTAGGCGACCTTGGCAACAGGGGCGGCGTAGGCAACCTTGGCTACAGGGGCGGCGTAGGCAACCTTGGCGACGGGGGCGGCGTAGGCAACCTTGGCTACAGGGGCGGCGTAGGCAACCTTGGCGACGGGGGCGGCGTAGGCGACAGGGGCGGAGTAGGCGACCTTGGCGACGGGGGCGGCGTAGGCGAGCTTGACGGGGTGCGCGGGCGCGGGCGCGGGGTGGCCCTCGTAGCGCACGACGGCGTTGAAGCCGTGCTCCTTGTCGGCGGAGTAATCGACGACGCGCGTCAGGCCGTCGGGCTGCAGCAGCGAGTAGGAGCCGTGCACGGCGTCGCCGGCGCGCGCCTCCTGCTGCTGCTTGATGTCTCCGCTGTGCTCGTCGTGCACCGAGTACTGGAACTCGTAGTGCGCGGGCGCCTCCACCTCCGCGTACGCCACCTTCGCTACCGGCACCAGCGGCACGGCCGACGCCGCCACGGCCAGGGAGAGGACTACGAAGAACTGTAAGGAATTTACGTTTTTTAGAATTTCAAAATTCAAAAATAAGAATTAGAAGTCGGTTAAAATATACATAATCCCAATTGTCACTCATTTTACCACTAATAATAAACAAAAACAATAGGTAGGTATTGTACCACCAAGTCGATCGTTATTTGGATTTAGAATTTTGTATGGTATGGCCTAGTAAAGACTACTCACTTTGGCTGCCATTGTTGTTGTTAATTTGCTAGTCAGAGCTTGACTGTGACAATGTGCGAGTGTCGATACTTTTTATACAAGCATGTGCACGTAGGGCGTAGAGTGACAACGCCTGGGGCTGCTGACCGCACTCGACCACTTGCACTCAAAGTGAGGTTAAGGTCACATTAAGGTATTTCGTTAATGTTTGTATGCGTTTAATTATATGTAAATAATAAGTGTAACAACCTGAAATATCAACAGTTATAAGGGTTTCGTAATACCATTCTATGATTCATCCCAATTTTCTTTTCCGTTTATTGCATTTTCTTATTGGATACACTAGTGTTATGATAGTGATATTATACTTACTGTGAAGCAAATGGTCGAATTTTCATGAATAAGTAAATTCACGAAAATTACCTAGTAAAGTATTTTAACGTTCACTGTGGTTGATTCCAACAAACCAGATGATAGATTTTATAAAAAGGACTGATAGACCTCTTACATACTAGGTATCGTCGGGTCAACGTCTTATAAAAAGCTTAGATTTTTTTTCTTGTAAAATTAATTCGCCAGTCAGTGTATCTGAGATAGATCAGTTCCCTCCAGCTACTACGGTTGCTACCAACACGTCCATTATTACGGATGAGCTATTTATTATTCTAGTATATTTTAGTGATTTATTGTTTACAAGTAGCAAAAACATTGTGTAGCAAGGTGTCTGTTTCGATCCATATCGGTAATCTACATCTACTTACAACCGACTGACCCTAACCGTGGCGACCTTCACCTGCAAAAGATATTTCGGCGTGATAACATACATGTAGATCACCGCCGCGGGCGACGTCAACTCTGTCACCAGCCGAAGCCGTAGGCGCATTTTCTTGAATAAAAAGTGCCGCTATCCGCAGGAAGTCATAGTCGAGCTTTGACAATCTTATTAGCAACAATGGCAGCTAAAGTAAGTTTAGTTCCCATTTCTTATTCAATTTAAATTAAGATTATAAGAAAATAATGATAATGTAATAGAACATAACATTTAATAGAAACTCTCGTCTTAATTTTGATATGATTTTATTCTCTATAGTAGGTATATCTATAGTAGATCGATTTCATTATATGGTTGAAAATATAATGAAAAGTTTAATACAAGCAGCGATCTAAATACTTGAAAGATAAATGCTGATAAATATGTTTTTTCAGTTGTTCGTGGTCCTGTCCCTGGCCGTGGCGGCGTCGGCCGTGCCGCTGGTGCCGGTGGCGAAGGTGGCGTACGCGGAGGTGGAGGCGCCCGCGCACTACGAGTTCCAGTACTCGGTGCACGACGAGCACAGCGGAGACATCAAGCAGCAGCAGGAGGCGCGCGCCGGCGACGCCGTGCACGGCTCCTACTCGCTGCTGCAGCCCGACGGCCTGACGCGCGTCGTCGACNCTTCTTCCCTGGAGGTAAACGTCAATGTCATCTCTTCTCTAAATATAATGAGACCGCTCGGACACCGAGCCCACAGCGTGGTAGGGGTGGGGTTGCCCGCTCTTTTGTTTTTTAATACTACTACGCTGAATATTGTGTGCGGATTGGGTTGTCGTACAGGGGTACTACTACATGGTAAAATAAATCTCTTCGGCGAAAACAGGATAATTTAGATCGAACTTCACTTGGTAAGTTCGTTTGATCATTCAATTAAAAAGCAAGCGATTATGTAATTGATCCCATTGTAATTGGCCGTCATATCTTGCCGGCATTGTAGGTTTAATTAGAGTTCGTCAGCAGCCGCGGGCGCTATCTCCGCCGAAAGTTCGCAACCCTGAAGTGCAAGCACTTGTATAAAAAGTGTTGTGCTCCGCATATTGTCACAGTCGAGCTCAGATTCGCACAAAAACAGTCATAATGGCAGCCAAAGTAAGCTTTTGACATTGTTTCTTTCGTACAATAACTGTGTGTACTTACTTACTGAAATAAATAAAAACGTAACTAATAAAAACTAGGTTAATACCTAATTATGACCAACAAAATTAATTATAATGGATATTAAATTGTAATAATCATAAATTCCTTACAGTTCTTCGTAGTCCTCTCTCTGGCCGTAGCGGCGACGGCCGTGCCGCTGGTGCCGGTGGCGAAGGTGGCGTACGCGGAGGTGGAGGCGCCCGCGCACTACGAGTTCCAGTACTCGGTGCACGACGAGCACAGCGGAGACATCAAGCAGCAGCAGGAGGCGCGCGCCGGCGACGCCGTGCACGGCTCCTACTCGCTGCTGCAGCCCGACGGCCTGACGCGCGTCGTCGACTACTCCGCCGATAAGGAGCACGGCTTCAACGCCGTCGTGCGCTACGAGGGCCACCCCGCGCCCGCGCCCGCGCACCCCGTCAAGCTCGCCTACGCCGCCCCCGTCGCTAAGCNTCGTCGATTACTCCGCCGACAAGGAGCACGGCTTCAACGCCGTCGTGCGCTACGAGGGCCACCCCGCGCCCGCGCCCGCGCACCCCGTCAAGCTCGCCTACGCCGCCCCCGTCGCCAAGGTCGCCTACTCCGCCCCTGTCGCCTACGCCGCCCCCGTCGCCAAGGTTGCCTACGCCGCCCCTGTAGCCAAGGTCGCCTACTCCGCTCCCGTGGCCTACGCCGCCCCCGTTGCCAAGGTCGCCTACTCCGCCCCTGTCGCCAAGGTTGCCTACGCCGCCCCTGTAGCCAAGGTCGCCTACTCCGCTCCCGTGGCCTACGCCGCCCCCGTTGCCAAGGTCGCCTACTCCGCCCCTGTCTCCTACGCCGCCCCCGTCGCCAAGGTCGCTTACAGCGCCCCCCTTGGCCACGTCACATTCTCATCCCCCGCCGTCTCTTACCACCACTAAGTTATTTTGTTGATGTTGTTATTTATTGAAATGGATAGATGATAATAAATTATTTTCAAACTGACTTTTTTGTTTTAACATTTAGGTATGTCCTGCAAACTTCGACATAGGTACCTATTAAAATCAAGAGAAAGTTAAGTCACGGGTTGCTCTATCTACAATTTTATTCAATTTTGTGCAAATCATGTTTCCCATCTCAGCGATAATTTTTAATGATCTTATTTTATGATATGAATATTTCGGTACTAAGTAGGTACCTACCTACTTATCTAATTATCGTCAAGTAAGAGCTTAACTGACGCGTCGTGTATCCGACCCATATCGCTCCCACTTTATACGTGGTAAACACGCTTTGGATAAGGAGTTCTAAAAATAATGCTACTCAAACAAATAGACATGGATTGAAAGCTCCTTATCACGACGATATTCACTTGCCAAGAAGCTTCCTACATTCAGACCTTGTCCTACAATTATTGTAGGTATAGGTACAAATAATATTACTTCTATCATCTCTCTCGCTGATCATGAATCCACCACCAAACAAAAAAACTATGAACTCTACGAAAAGTATCGGTATATAAATGTGAAACGTGTTTCGAACACACTTAGGGAACCCACCTTTAATTATTGTGAATCTGATTGTTTTGAGAATAGTGGTTGGTGTTGATAACATAGTTTTTGGGCCCGACATTAATTAGTAATTCATGTATTTTGTGATCATCAATTACAGAAACTCCTGCTAGATCGCGAGGCCTGTCTTTCCTGTTGTGTATGAAAGCTTTTTACCATGACTTTCTACAGTTTATTTGAGTAGAAAATATCTAGGTAGGTAGGAAGTATAGAACATTTTTCTATTAATTAATTTGATTCAGTTGTTTTCTTTACGTAACCAATCATATTTTATTTAGTACATTACGATTAGAAAAGATCTATCATCGGAAAAAAAATCAATATTGGGACAATTCGTTGTCATATTATGTCTATTTATTCAAAGGACCTTTGTGAGATAGTATTATTTGCTGATGACACTTCTTTAATTTTTTAAACTGACAGGCGTCAGGAAATATTTGACGACGTGAATAATGCTCTTTCCAAAGTATGAGACTGGTTTACAACTAATAATTTGCTATTAAACGCAAAAAAAAACAAATGTTTAAAATTCACTACGCCTAATGTCAAACAAGTTAATACTAATATTACAGTAAATAATGAACGCATTGAACTGATAAACTCTACTGTCTTTCTAGGTATTACCCTAGACTGTAAATTACAATGGGGCCCCCATATTGCTGCCTTGGCGGGAAGACTTAGTTCAGCTGCCTTTGCGGTGAGAAAGATCAGAAACTTGACTGATGTTGAAACAGCAAGGCTTGTATATTTTAGTTATTTTCATAGTATTATGTCTTATGGTCTTTTACTGTGGGGCTCAGCAGCAGACATAGAATCAATTTTCATTTTACAGAAAAGAGCTGTTCGGGCAATATACGGTCTTAAACCACGTGACTCGCTTAGAGAAGTTTTTAAAGAAATCAATATATTGACTGTGGCTTCGCAATACATATTTGATAACATTATGTATGTCCGTAAACATATACATTTATTTACTAAGAAAAGTGACGTCCACTCATTTAACACGAGACATAAGAATAAACTTGCTGTTCCATCATTTAGGTTGCATAAGATAGGTAATTCATTCTTGGGGAAATGTATTACCATATTTAACAAAATACCACACAACCTTGTCGAATTGCCAATAAACAAATTTAAGATACATATAAAAAATACCCTTATGTCCAAAGGGTACTACAAGGTTCGAGACTATATTGATGACAAGGATGCGTGGTCAGTTCAGTCTGCACATATTTGATGTACTTAAATTTGACTATTCTTACCGTTAGATAATTCCTGGCAATAAGTGGTGACTGAGTTTGTTCCGGCGTTTCTTCTCAGCACTTGCCATATGTTTGTCTCGAAGCGCTGGTAGGGCCCAAAAGATAAGGAGACATGTAAAGTGCCCCATAAGGGCTACCTTTTTCTTTTTTTATTTTTTTCGATTGACGTTCATAAGTGCCACTTGTGGTCTAAACTGAATAAATATTTTTTGATTTGATTTGATTTGATTTATGACAACGAATATTATGGTGCGCTGTGTCATCTAAGTTTAAGAGCATAAAAAAACTTAACGGGTTCGATTCCTGGTGGATTTAGTTTAAGGAATCAGGAACCAAGTCGTTTTATTTCAACTGGGAAATGAGTCTAACGTCTGTCTCAAAACACATCCTTACTTATGGGATATCTATGTATGTATATTAATCTACTAGCTTTTGCCCGCGGCTTCAGCCTCGTGAAATGTAATTTGTCATAGATCGTCATAAATTATAGCCTTTAAGTTATTCTGAATTGTAAACAATAATAAAGAAAAAGAACTGTAAAGTTTCATCAAAATCCGTTCAGTAGGTTTTGCGTGAAAGAGTCATAGTCATAGTCAACAAACATGTTAACATCTAGACATCCATACAAACTTTCGCATTTATAATATTAGTAGGGATAGTAATACTAGCGACCCGCCTCGGCTTTCGCACGGGTGCTAAGTACCTAGGTATACATCTGAGGTATACATATACATATAGGTAAACTTCCTCTTGAATCACTCTATCCATTTTAAAAAAACCGCATCATAATCCGTTGCATAGTTTTAAAGACCTAAGCATACAGGGGTCAGACAGCGGAAAGCGACTTTGTTTTATACTGTAGTGTTTATAAAGACGAAGACTTTGTTTGCTTGAACGCGCTAATCTCAGGAACTACTGATCCGATTTGAAAATAGTTATATGTTTGTGTTGGACATCCCATTTATCGAGGAAAGCTTTAGGCTATACCTATAACATCACCCTACAGTCAATAGGGACGGAGCAGTAAAGGAAAATGTTGTAAAAACGGGAAATATGATTTTCGCGAAGTCGCGGGGACAGCTAGTAGGTACTTAATAAAAATTCTTTGAACGCGTTTATAAATGTATCGCATATTTTAATATAAAATATGTTTAAGTAGGTACCTACAAAGAAGAACGGTCACGCCCCATACAAAAAAAACCCAGACCCGACAGAAACGAGACATACCTCAGTTTTTTTGTCATGTCTTAATTAGTTAAATTATATATTTTTTATATTCGAAATCTATGTATAACACCAAAATATTACCCTTTGTTTTTGTTCAGGCGTTATACAAAAACTAATACAAAATGCCTATTTATCACCAAAATTGGTAAGTGTATGCACCTAAATGTCTATTACAGCTGCTATGGAATGTATCTAGGTGACCTGGGGATACAGCCGGATTATACAGGGTGGAAACGAGAAGTTACAAAATCCAAAATTCAATGTTACCAGCTTCCATAATCTGTAACCTATTATTGGTACCATTTAAAAGAGCTCGTGAAGCACTTTCAGAATCAGTAGTTTTTCGATATCTTGTATAATTTAGAAATAATCGAGTGAGATCAGTTATCGTTCCATATGTATAACCACCCTGTATAATCCGGCTTTATCTCCAGGTCACCTAGATACATTCCATAGCAGCTGTAATAGACATTTAGGTACATAATATTTACCAATTTGGGTGATAAATAGGCATTTTGTATTAGTTTTCGTATAACGCCTGAACAAAAACAAAGGGTAATAATATTTTGGTGTTATACATAGATTTCGAATATAAAAAATATATAATTTAACTAATTAAGACATGACAAAAAAACTGAGGTATGTCTCGTTTCTGTCGGGCCTGGGTCACAGATGACCGTTCTTCTTTATTATTAAAAACTAATCATCCCAAATGTTATACATAAAACAAACAAAATTTTAAGTAGGCGAGACGAGATATTTGAATATGATCCGATTTTATGTAAATTGTATTCAAAATAAATTAGTATCTTTGTAACACCTAACACAAACTGGTCCTTTTATTATAACTTTCACCTGTTTGGATAGGTAATTTCCGATGCTTTACAACTAATAATATCGCTACTAAATACTTAATTGACTTTGAAAGCTTAACTGTAACCGAAATAAATCAATGAAAGAGTAACTGAAAAAGATCTTCCACTGAAAAATGGACACTCCCATCAAATTTTGGTTTTACCAAACCACAGAAAAAGCGGCAATTTTTCACGGATAACAATAACTTGTAATTTCAATAGAAAATGTAATAACATGCACCTATCTGACTTAATTGATCCTAATCGAGTTTAAACGTGAGATGTTTTAACATTCAATGGCAGGCTAACACAACATACACACTTACCCTTAAAATTACTATAAAAAATAAGAATTATCCTGCTTTCGCCTCCGAGATTTATTTTACCATGTAGTAGTACCCCTGTACGACAACCCAATCCGCACACAATATTCAGCGTAGTAGTATTAAAAAACAAAAGAGCGGGCAACCCCACCCCTACCACGCTGTGGGCTCGGTGTCCGAGCGGTCTCATTCCTTTGTGCGCACGCGCAACGACCGCACGCAGTATAAGAAAAATGCTTAAGTGACGTCACCAGGACGTTTTTACCGACAAAAAACGTAATTATTTTAAGTTGTGCAGTGTAGTGACGAGAATTAGACCCAACAAAAGGTTGGTTGTAACAACTATTTTGTGCAAGTGCTCGTACATTTTTATTATAAGCGTTGTGACACGACGCGTAACTTTGACCCATTTTTAGCTCCAAGTTAACGCGCGATGTTAACCAGTAGCCATTTTTTTGCTCCGAGGTAATGCGAGATGTTACCCAGTAGCCATTCTTTTGCTCCGAGGTAATGCGAGATGTTACCCAGTAGCCATTTTTTCGGCCGTGCCGCTGGTGCCGGTGGCGAAGGTGGCGTACGCGGAGGTGGAGGCGCCCGCGCACTACGAGTTCCAGTACTCGGTGCACGACGAGCACAGCGGAGACATCAAGCAGCAGCAGGAGGCGCGCGCCGGCGACGCCGTGCACGGCTCCTACTCGCTGCTGCAGCCCGACGGCCTGACGCGCGTCGTCGACTACTCCGCCGATAAGGAGCACGGCTTCAACGCCGTCGTGCGCTACGAGGGCCACCCCGCGCCCGCGCCCGCGCACCCCGTCAAGCTCGCCTACGCCGCCCCCGTCGCTAAGCTCGCCTACGCCGCCCCCGTCGCCAAGGTCGCCTACTCCGCCCCTGTCGCCTACGCCGCCCCCGTCGCCAAGGTTGCCTACGCCGCCCCTGTAGCCAAGGTCGCCTACTCCGCTCCCGTAGCCTACGCCGCCCCCGTTGCCAAGGTCGCCTACTCCGCCCCTGTCTCCTACGCCGCCCCCGTCGCCAAGGTCGCCTACTCCGCCCCTGTCTCCTACGCCGCCCCCGTCGCCAAGGTCGCTTACAGCGCCCCCCTTGGCCACGTTACCTTCGCCTCCCCCGCCGTCTCCTACCACCACTAAGTTATTTTGTTGATGCTGTTATTTATTGAAACGAATACTTAGGTACTAATAAATTATTACAAAAGTTGACACAATTTTTTACTGACTCCCAACTCTTCTAGGTTCTACTATTTTCGTATCAGTAATAGATGCTTAGTTATTACAAAAATACGGTAGCATCTACCTAGCTAGCTAGCGAAGCCTACATTGAAATCAACGATGAATTAAGTAAGTAGGGTGAATTTTGTTACCACACTACAGAGGCTTCAGATAGTACTAATAACATTAGATACATCTGACGAAATATATTCAGTTATGATCAGCAGCGAAGCATGAACGAACACCGTCGATTTTTTAATAAATATAAGTCCACTGTTGAACATAGGTACAGTAGTGTAGAACAATGATTTCCATATTGACCTGTTGGTAGCGGCCTGCATTGTGGGTGGATGTCCCAAACTGTGCTTTCCAATACATGGCTTCTTCTCCAGAACCTTGCTGCCCCATCGGCCGTCAGTTCTGCGTACTATGAATACATATTGTGTGAGTATAATGTGTCTTGCACATTGCCAATTCAGCTTAATGTTAATCCGCCGGGCTATGTCTTCAGGATCTCATGATTCCTGATTCGATCTCGTAAAGAAACACTGAGCATAGCCTTCTCAGTTCTCCGTAGCACGCTGTGCAACTTTAAACTTATGTATAAGACCTATAGTGAGAAGCTACGTTTCAGAACTTGGATGGTCATCACTATAATGATAGTTAAAAAACTAAAAACACGCTTTTAATTACTGCACTAAAAGACGAACCCAAACTCGATGCGATTCCGCCGTTTCGTTTAGGAGTTCCTATAGACACCACCCGACTCCATCATCAGGACCCTGGACATCGTTTAGCACTAAAGTGCTCTTAGAAACAAATCCCATGAACCCAAACTCAATGATTTTCCGCCGTTTCATTTAGGAGTTCCTATGGCCACCTCCCGATTCCATCATCAGACCAGCTCGATGGTACTATAATATTGTATTGTCATCTAATCTACATACAGGGTGGAAACGTTAAGTGATCTCACTTGATTATTTTTAAACTATACAAGATATCGAAAAACTGGTAACTGATCCTAAAGTGTTTCACGAGCTCTTTCAAATGGTACCAATAATAGGTTACAGAATAAACTGGAACTATTCGAAAATTCAATGTTTCCAGCTTCCATACTAAATGTATGCCAACATTGCCAACCACACAATGTTAAAAGTGTATTTAAAAAAAAACTTAAAATAAACTCATCATTTGCATTCTTATTGAAAATTATTTATTTATGGAAAACATTAGTTTTAGGCTTTACTTGCTATAATATTATCAATAGATGAGTGCCATGACTAGTGGTAGTACTAAATGTATGTAAAATGGAAACACTGAATTTTTGGATAGATCCAGTTTATTCTGTAACCTTTTGTTGATACCGTTGGATAGAGCTCGTGAAGCACTTTGAGGATCAGTAACCAGTTATACGATATCTTGTGTAAGTAGTTTTCAATAATTTGTGGCTTTACCAAATGTATGGAGGCTGGAAACATTGAATTTTCGGATAGATCCAGTTTATTCTGTAACCTATTATTGATAGCGTATGCTATCATACGCTACCAATATCTCTATGAGCTCTATAGCTCATGAAGCACTTTCAGGATCAGACTAGTTTTTTTATATCTTATATAGTTTAGAAATAATCGAGTGAGGTCACCTATCGTTTCCACCCTGTTTAATTGCCACTTTTCATGATGATACAAGAATTAGAAGTGCGTGTAATTTAGATTCTTAGATTCCATTACATAGTTACGACGACCTAATAAAAGCGTGTTAAAAACAAATCAAGGTGTTCCCAATTATTCATTTAAATTACGAGTACGCTGCATGTCGTTTGGAACAAACAGGTAAAAATTATAAATGCGACATTTATTGTAGTGTTATGGATACTTTTTTTCAAATTAGTATTAATTTATATCTAAAATCTATACCAATATTATAAATGCGAAAGTAACTCCTGTCTGTCTCACTTTCACGCCTAAAAACCACTGAACCGATTTTGATTAAATTTGCCAGGGAGATATTTTAATTCCCAGGAAAGGACATAGGATAGTTGTTATCCCGGTTTTTGAAACAAGGACGCGTGCGATAAAGTTTTTCTGTGACAGACAAAATTCCACGCGGGCGAAGCCGCGGGCAAAAGCTAGTAGTTAATATTGTAAAGTTGAAAAGGTTTTTGCTTGGTTGTAAGCGTATCTCAGGAACTACTGGTGAGATTTGAAGAATTCTTTGTGTTGATAGTCCATTTATCGAAGAAGGCTAAATTATGCCATATAACACCACGCTACGCTATGACCAACATCAGCGGAGCATCGATGAAAAATGTTGCAAAAACGGGAAAATTATGCAAACTATTTTCACGCGTGAGAATTCGCAAATACTTAGATGTTTATTTCAAGGGACTTCACACTGATCTGATTGGGATTGACCGCCATAACTCGCCGGCATTGTAGTGTTAATTAGAGTAGTAACCTAGGAGTAGGAACCGCGTTAAGCTGCCGCAGGCACTGCTACGGCGCAACCCTGAGAGCACACGCACGCGTATAAAAAGTGTCGCACCTCACAAATTGTCACAGTCAAACTCAGACTCATTCAACAACAACATGGCAGCTAAAGTAAGCACTTAATGTGATATTTTTATGGTTGACAAACAAAATACCTGAACACCATGAAGTCTATTTTTAAAGCATTTGAATTCCAATACGCAGTGCTCTTTTGGAACTTCTATTCACTATTTTCACTTAGAAAAAAAGTTGTCAAAAAGTTTAACAATGAATTTCTTACAGTTGTTCGTGGTCCTGTCCCTGGCCGTGGCGGCGTCGGCCGTGCCGCTGGTGCCGGTGGCGAAGGTGGCGTACGCGGAGGTGGAGGCGCCCGCGCACTACGAGTTCCAGTACTCGGTGCACGACGAGCACAGCGGAGACATCAAGCAGCAGCAGGAGGCGCGCGCCGGCGACGCCGTGCACGGCTCCTACTCGCTGCTGCAGCCGGACGGCCTGACGCGCGTCGTCGACTACTCCGCCGACAAGGAGCACGGCTTCAACGCCGTCGTGCGCTACGAGGGCCACCCCGCGCCCGCGCCCGCGCACCCCGTCAAGCTCGCCTACGCCGCCCCCGTCGCCAAGGTCGCCTACGCCGCCCCCGTCGCCAAGGTCGCCTACTCCGCCCCTGTCGCCTACGCCGCCCCCGTCGCCAAGGTAGCCTACGCCGCCCCCGTCGCCAAGGTCGCCTACTCCGCCCCTGTCGCCTACGCCGCCCCCGTCGCCAAGGTTGCCTACGCCGCCCCTGTAGCCAAGGTCGCCTACTCCGCTCCCGTGGCCTACGCCGCCCCCGTTGCCAAGGTCGCCTACTCCGCCCCTGTCTCCTACGCCGCCCCCGTCGCCAAGGTCGCTTACAGCGCCCCCCTTGGCCACGTTACATTCTCATCTCCCGCCGTGTCCTACCACCACTAAGTTATAATTGTTGATGTTGTTATTTATTGAACTGGCTAGATGATAATAAATTATTTTCAAATTAACTTTTCTGTTTTGACTTCCATTAAACCATTGTTCAAATGAAAAGTATGTAAATTGCTAACTACTTTACATAGGACGTTGTGTCCAGATCTAGACTCAGTTTTATAGCAAATAGAATAAGGTTAGGAGTAAGGATCTAACCAGTCTGGCAAATGTATTAGCAGGCCTACCTAACTTGCTAGAGTTTAAGAATCCATTTGATGATGACTTTTGTATACCTATTAGTGTTAAATGAAACTACTTTTTACACCTACTTATTCTGCAAGATTTATTTTTAATTATTATATGGGGTCGAAAGGTGTCCGACTACTTTTCTCCCCTAGTGTTGGGCTCACGTTCGTTGATTAATTTGGCAGTAAGCGGATTGAGGGCTATTATTAACGATCTTGCAACCCTTCGCGGAGTTCGGATGGATCAACTGTAATTTAAAGCTTTGTTATCGTGATGGTTTTTTTGGAATGAGAAAGGTCACGGTAGTTCAGATAGAAATTAATAGGAGGTATTAAGGTTTAAAAAGAACCTAATAGTAATCTTCAAACTCTGTTTTGGATAACGGTTTAGATTTGATAAACAAACCACGAACTCTGGTAGGTAAAAGTTGTGAAGTTTTACGCCCGGTTCCCATATTCAATCCTTGTCCAAATCCGGATTACAACTGTCAAATTGAATTCAGTTTAAGATTATATTTCCAAAATTTTCGATGCATTTACACTTTAATATTGTTTAAATAGTCTTATAAACAATATAAAAATGTAAAAACATCAAAAACCGCAGTTATTTTGGCCAAAAACATATTAAAATTTGACAGTTCACAATCCAAATCCGTATAATTTGGATTAGGATTGAATATAGAAATCCAGCATTAGCCACTAACGCATACAAACACAAGACTATTCTAGCCCGTAGTTTTTTGGAGAAGTCTAACTAGGTACCTAGTCTAATACAAATCAAAACAAAAAAACTTATTAATGTCAAAATAAGAAACTACAAGTGAATGAAGTAGATGTCCAGGCAATTTGTTGTTTGATACACAACATTAATTTAATACTGAAGCCACTGAAAAACATTATTCAAAACCACTAAAGACGACATCGCAGTGGGGCCATTCAGCCTACGAAATTGATCGCTTCGGTTACATAAAGCGAGGTATTTATCAAAAATATTTACATTGGTAGAAGTGAATCGGCCGGCTTAATTTGCGTGGCATTACGCGCCCGCCGGGAAATCGACTTTACATTCAATTTGCCGCTGCACAGATAAAAAGCAATCTCTTCATTTTTACCTGCCGCGATGCCGCCCGCCCCCGCCAGGGGAATAAAAACTGCCCGCCCTAGCCCGCTTTCAAATAAAGCTACATTATCATTTAGAGATTATTGGTTACTTCAATATTTAATTACATTTTAAGACAGGTTGATTGAAATAGCCATAATAACTCGGTATAAGTAATGCGAGTAAGTAAAGAGGAATCACAAAATGATTTGTGAATGATGAAACTTTAAGCTTTATAGTAGGTATTTCGCGCCGATAGACTGAGCTGGAGAACAAACTATGAGATAGAAAGAACACAAAATATAGGTTAATGTCTTTCTACTAACACAGATTTTTATCTATTAACCTGTATTTCAATATTGCTTAAGAACCATCCTTCAATCCTCAAAATATAGACAGGTTTGTATCATCAACCACACTAGCGTTCGCACCACACGAAGTTCTGTTTTACAGTTCTGTCGAACAAAATCAACACAGCCATTGCTATTCGTCTCCTAGCCCTAACTCCCTAGGTGCGCCTTAGGTGCGAAGCGTAGTACATAAACGAACGCCCAAGCACCACATCGGATATGACTTAACAAGCTTATTGGTCCAGCATACATGCGAAAATGTCCGCGTCCCCGATACAGGGTGGTTGGTGGGTTGTGGGTGGTTCACCGCACCTGAATTATTCATAGCGCCGCATAGTGATTTCACCTCATTGAATGGCGCCGCCGGCCGTGATTACGAAAACGATACCTCCGATATCGAACTTCGTGTGTGGACACAATGTCGCTTGTCAACTGGTTATATTAGCGAAGGCCGATTTAGCCTATCCCAATTCCGAAAGTAAAATTGGTCACACATTACCTCCACTTGAGTCTTATCGATCATTCATCATTACTCGTGTCAATATGTAAATCTAATGCGGTCATTAGTTACTCAAAGCAATTAGGTATGTATCAACAGTTAAGACAAGGAAAGTACTGAATTACAAAATAAGTAGATACAGGCGGCGACTAATAGAGCAAAACACGAGGAATCGTAATAAATAGGCGCTATTTTTCAACCTAAATTATTGGTCAAAGACGACATAATTAATAAGACCTAAAGCACAACCTAAAGCTTATTGTGGTATAAGTTTATGGTAATGAAACTATTTTTTTGTTTTAATGCATTATTTACTTTTTGGCTTGTTTCTGTGGCACTGGGCATTCATAAATATTGATACATTTATCCTTAGCAATAGACAATAACTTATCACCTTTACCGTTAAATCGGATGTTCCATACCTGAAAAGATATTTTGAATAATTAAGACGATTATAATAAAGTTAGTTATACAGGGTGTAATAACGTAGTCCATGAAATCGGATTTTATATTGTCCTACTTTGCTTGCCAAAAAAGAAATTATTTTCAGGCGCTATAAAATAGGCTAAAGAAGTATGTTTATTTAAAAAATTCGACGTAATAGTAATACCTAGTACTAATATTATGTTAACTGTAATGGTAAACCACCTTCACGAATTATTGTTATTAAAGCCAAATGTCGAAGAAAACGACAACTGCAGACCTCGACCGAAACAATTAATGACGAAATTGTAATAAAAGGTTAAAAATAATTTATTGCACATAGTTAACGCATTACATTTTAACGGTTTGTACAGGTGCAGTCGACATCAAATCTTCGTGATATCCGAAGACTTACCGTCGCGTATGTGCGATGCAGTGGCGGATTTACAGTTTTGCCACCCGTAGGCTAGGGTGGGGTTGGATCTTTATTTAACTTTTATCTTCTGAAATCGAGTAGGTAAGCATCATCTGAAATCTGCCGCTCCTAGGCCGCGGCCTATACGGCCTATTGACAGATCCAGGACTGGTGCGATGGACTTGATCTCCAAGGTGGCTATGTGGCCAGCCGCTGGCGTTGGTACACAAAAACGAATACCATCAAATCTTCCTAATTTTGGAGACTTACCGTATCAGTGTGTTCGTGAAAGGTATGCAGCACGTTCAGGTCATCTGCCTGCCTGGAGAGAACGCACGCAGATCGCTATCATCTTGATCTCTAAGGTGACATACAATTACAAATACCATCAAGTCTTTCTAATTTCCAAGACTTACCGTGTCAGTATGTTCGTGGAACATTTGTGGCTCATCTTCCTGTCTGAAGAGAACGCCACGCAAACCGCTATCGTCTTCATCTTTACGGTAGCTGTGTAACCAGCGCGCAGCGCTCGCGTTGGGTTGGCATAAAATTACAAATGCCATCAAGTCTTCCTAATTTCCAAGACTTACCGTGTCAGTGTGTTCGTGGAAGGTATGCAGCACCTTCAGGTCATCCGCCTGCGCCACCCGCACGGTCCCGTCGCCGGCGGCCGCGGCCACCCGGCTGCCGTCGGGAGAGAACGCCACGCAGACTGCTATCGACTTGGTCTCTAAAGTGGCTATGTGGCCGGCACTCGCGCTAGTAGAGAAATACGATTACCATCAACTTGGGTTCTTTAATTTCTTATACCATTTAGGTAGCAATCATTTCAAAGGAATTTCTAAAAACACGATCTTCCGCCTTTTTTTTCATTCAGCTATATCTTTCTGACGTCGTCAATCCATCCAATACCGGATCGGAGGGGGGATTGGGGGAGGGCTATGTTTAGTAGTGGAAAGGACGATGATTATGATAGGATGCGTGCCGTGATAAAATCTTATCGATGATTTTAGAAGTCAAAATGTATGGGCATATCGCGAAAAATCGATAAAACGGCGCGATAATAGCGTATCGCGGCGCGCATCCTAGGCGCGGTCCTAGGCCTAAATAATGATATTACTAACCACTAACAATAATACACTTGCGAGCAAAAGTATGGAATCACTTACATGAAGTTGTTTCCACGCGATCTTGTGTACTAACCAATTTGTTAGTAACAAAAAAAGTAGCACCATTTTAAAGATTAAACTTTTAGCTTTAAATTGATACCAAATTCATTTAAATCACACCAGTATTTAAAAAGATATCCCGGCTAATGTGAAGAAGTAAGGAAAAAGACATGTATCAACTGTTTGATACGTCGCGAGTTGCGGCCTATTTACCCCCCATAAAAGCACGTATTTTCGGATTTTTGCTTTCACACGTTGATCCATACACATCTCCGCTTCTTTTGACACTTTACCTGGGATTCTACACCTTCAGAAGCAGCACAAATCGTTGCACTATTGCAAGAAGGGCTCAGCCAGCGGGCTGTCGCACGTCAGCTCCACATAAGCCAGTCCTGGGTTTCGAAAGTTTTAAGACGCTTTCGGGAGACTGGTGGCTTTATCACGAGACCAAGTTCTGAACATTGCCGGTGCACATCGCAGAGGGAAAACCGTTTTTTCATGTCAACTTCTCTACGAAATCGTCATTTGACTGGTATCGACGTCCAGCAAGAGCTCAGAAATGTTCGTAGGATAGCTGTTAGCAAGTGGACAGTTCGTCTAAGATATAAACAATAGAATTTGACTCCAAAAAGGCCTGCCACAGGCTTGAAACTGACGGCAGGTCACCGATAAGCACGCTTTCAATTTGCCCCTACACATCACGATGGGAAGTCGAGCAAGCCACCCCCATAAGCCAATGTTTTAGCCAACCAGCACTGCACAAATCGCTCCCCAGGCCGTCTATAGACCCGACCTCTTCGACTGCTGCACTGCAAAAACAGTCTGCATTCATCGGAAAACAAAACTCGCCTCCATTACTCGCCTTCCGAGTGCGAGCTAATTGAAAGCGTGCTTGTCGGCGACCTGCCGTCAGTTTCCAGCCTGTGGCAGGCCTTTTTGGAGTCAAATTTTATTGCTCATATCTTAGACGAACTGTCCACTCGCTAACAGCTATCCTACGAACATTTCTGAGCTCTTGCTGGACGTCGATACCAGTCAAATGACGATTTCGTAGAGAAGTTGACATGAAAAAACGGTTTTCCCTCTGCGATGTGCACCGGCAATGTTCAGAACTTGGTCTCGGGATAAAGCCACCAGTCTCCCAAAAGCGTCTTAAAACTTTCGAAACCCAGGACTGGCTTATGTGGAGCTGACGTGCGACAGCCCGCTGGCTGAGCCCTTCTTGCAACAGTGCAATGATTTGTGCTGCTTCTGTAGGTGTAGAATCCCAGGTAAAGTGTCAAAAGAAGCCGAGATGTGTATGGATCAACGTGTGAACGCAAAAATCCGTAAACACGTGCTTTTATAGGGGGTAAATAGGCCGCAACTCGCGACGTATCAAACAGTTGGTACATGCCTTTTTTCTTACTTCTTCACATCAGCCGGGATATCTTTTTAAATACCGGTGTGATTAAAATGAATTTGGTATCAATTTAAAGTTAAAAGTTTAATCTTTAAAATGGTGCTACTTTTTTTGTTACTAACAAATTCGTTAGTACACAAGACCGCGTGGAAACAACTTCATGTAAGTGATTCCATACTTTTGCTCGCGAGTGTAGTTGTTCTAACCAAATACTAGGGTATAAGATTTATTTTAAAAGTCGCCTAATACGTAGGTGACTACAGATACTTGTCTAATAATTTATTCTGTCAATTAATTAAACAAAATTTCAATTAAAAATTCAAATTAATAGTAGCCCTCTGCGTAACATAAACCTACTAAGTAATGCTTCAACAGCAAAGCTTCTTACACAGTGTGTAATTTCACAGTCCCGTCGTCAGAAGCACTGGCCAGCACAAGCGAGTTGGGCGCGAAGACGACGCTTCTGACGGCCTGGCGGTGAGCCTCCACCGTATGCACCAGTTTCCCCTGGCTGACGTCAAACACACACACCGTCCCGTCCACGCTGCCACAAGACATGTACTTGCCGTTGGGACTCTGTGTGAAAAAATTTAGATAAATCGTGGAATATAAATACTTAAAAAAAATACTTTTTATGTAAATCAAATACAGTAGAACGCCGATTATCCGAACGCCGATTAACCGAATCGCCAATTATTCGAATCGGTCCTAAGCATAATATTAAAAATTAAAACCAAGTAATTTTTGATTTGTTTTGTTGGAACTCAGATATATTTTAACTGAGCGTTATTGTAGCAGTTCTACAATAACGCTCAGTAGAAATATATCTGTTTGATAAACATAATAAAGTTTATTTTATGTGTGACAGTTCGTTTTACTCTATTGCCAGTCTATGACCGATTATCCCAATTTTCGATTATCCGAATCGACTCCGGTCCCAATTAATTCGGATAATCGGCGTACTATTGTATAAAGAATAAGCATAAGCATGTAAGCCACTTAATTTTAAGCTGCATGTATCAAACAAGGCTGTATGTTTCTTTAATAAAGATAAGATAAAATTAAATAAAAAAACTGTCCCCAAATACATCTGTAATATTCACAAGCAAAGACTTAATATCATTACCAACCTACTCAATTTGTACTTCACAATATCTAATTAGATTTTTTCCTCTGATAAGAAAATGGATTAATGGTGAAATAGTTAAAATTGTAATATTATAACAAAGTATAAAAGTTGTTTAACCTCTCCTATGCTTTGTCTCAGATCTGTGCAACCTCCGTCAACTGCTATGTCTCAGATCTAAGACAAGACTACTTTGTCATTTTGAAACATCATTTGAAAACCGTAGCAGTTGGCGGGCGCAGTTTTGCGCGGCTCAATAGCACGCCAAAGGTTAAAGCATCAATGAAAGAGCAACAAATCTTATATTAAAAGCTTACCCAGGCCACACTCAACACAAACTTTCCTCTGGTGTCTAAAATCCTATCTACAGTGCCATCTTTTATTCCATAAATAATAACTTTCCCAGTATGGCTTCCAGTGGCCACCTGGCTCCCGTCCGGTGAGAATACAAGTTTCCATACATCTGTAGCGCCTGTTTCTACCTCGTGCACTTTCTGGCCCGATAACAAATCCCAAATAATAAGCATTGAATCTAGAGATGAGCTTGCAATGCCTAAAAAGAGATAAAACATTGTTATACAAAGCCTACCTATAACACTGTCGTATTTTGACAGAATTTGGACTAAATAAACTTACTATGTCCATCTGGGCTGACTGCAACTGACATTACAGCCATTTCATGGCCAGTCAAAGCTTGAACCAGCTCTAATCTGTTGTTCTCTACCATCCATACTTTTACTAAGTTGTCCAACCCACCAGTCAGGACAAACTCCTTCGAAGGACCTCTGTAGGTTAAAATATTAAAATAAAAATAATATTAATGTTTTAGGGAACTGGCTCTTACCAAACATGCAATATACTTACTTGGGATCCGATGTAGTGCAAGTTCTAGTCCATTCACAGCAATAAATCGGATCATCATGAGCATTTTCTTTTTTTAACAATATAGAATACTGTAAAGATTACATTATAGGCTTAGATTAATTAATCTAAGATTATAGGTTACCGAATAAAATAACAACATATTTATTTAGACAGTCTTTGTACTCACGATTGCTGCTGCAGGCATGTTAAAAATGTACTTCTTTGTTAATAAATTAATTAATTCTAAACAAAATCCTTTTAGAAAAACAAACAGTCCAAAGCAGTAAACAGCTGTTTTGTTTTGAAATGAGTTTTGAAAATACATTTAACTATAAATATTGTAGAAAATATGTATGAAAAACTCGTTAAATCACAACAGCTCTAACAGTTTTATCAAAAAAGGAAAATCACACAAAAAATGGAACAGGCTCAATGTCACCACAAAGCACAAATGTCACATTGACAGTGACTAGAGATGAGACGTATTTACTAGAACAGATCCACACACACACTTGGTATTTTACAGTACTAAGTGGCACCTATTCCAATTTTTAAAATACTTGATCCACCTAGTATTTTTTAAATTACACGATTTCCGACCCTACAATCAAAGTAATAGAGGTTATTATTGCATAATCCGTAGTCATCCACCTAGTATTTTTTAAATTACACGATTTCCGACCCTACCATCAAATAGAGGTTATTATTCAATTTCAAATTGCATTATTAATACTACGGTTGTATCTTTTCAAAGAAAATTGTATTTTAAAGTCATAATACGTGGATTAGTCCGCACTAGTCGCGTCAAGTATGGTAAATTACTACGTACTAGGTGGAATAGGTATTTGGATCAAGTATTAATAAATACTTGGAATAGGTGCACCTAGTATCAAATTTACCTAGTATAACCCATCTCTAACAGTGACAGTACTTGATAACGTTCAGAAATGGCAATGCCAGATTTTGTATGGAAAGTGGCGTCTTTTTTTTTTCGCGCGGCCATCGACCAAACTTTGTTTTTTGACTACAAAATAGTGTAATAAACCAAACTTACTATGACATGTATACCTCTAAACTCAGTCTGAGCTGAGTTACGAGCATTAGAAGTTTGATGATTTTCATACTAGATTTGCTTTTTGTGCGCAAGTTTTGTAAGAAATTGCAGAAGTGTAAATGTGTACATATTTTTTTGCATTTACATATTTATAATAAGAAATGAAAAACAATAAGTCCTTAAAAAGTACATTATATTACAATACACATTATTATAACTCGCTATAATGGGCAGTCATAAATATTTACACTTTTATCTTCTGAAACTGATACAATTTTGTTGCTTTCTGCATTGAATTTAACTCCCCACACCTGAAACATAAAAAAATACATACAGTCAGGCTAGGGGCCGTTCAAGTATTACGTAAGCACCAAGGGGGGGTGGGGGCATCTCTGTTTTGCTTATTTTGGATGACATGGGGGGTAGGGGGGTCTAGATGATGATTACGTCATCGTTAGTTATTTACGTTTTTTCGGGGATTCCCGCAAATAATACATATGCGTAGGCACTCGCTTTGAGAACTGATTAGGAAAATTACCGTGCGCTATTCCCTACTCTATGTGTATCAGTTAAACCTAATATTTTCATGAATTTTCCTATTTTAAAAATGACAATATAAAAAACATTTAGTTATAACAAAATGTTTATGTAAGCATAGGGGGAGGGGGTAAGTGCATTGCTTACTTTTGATGACAGGGGGGGAGGGGGGGGTAAAAAATGGTAAGAAATCTGCTTACGTAATACTTGAACGGCCCCCTACGATTTCATGGTGATATAGCTTTAAAAAATTTAAAACAATAATATTCCAGTTTTACCTGGTCAGTATGCTCTTTGAACACATTTTGGCACTGCATGCTGTCAAGATCCCAAACACGCACGGTCCGGTCAGCACTGCCTGACACAAACCGCTTGCCGTCAGGAGCAAATGCTACAGAAAGCACCCAGGATGCATGCCCTGACAGTGTGCCTGCTAAGTTTGCATGGACCCTGGAAATGATAGTAGAATCGTTTTGAAGAATTTTATTCACACATAGGAAGTATAGAAACAGTCTATAAATTTTTGAAGCAAAATAGCTCCTATTCCCCACAGCATACGTCTGTAATAGAACCTATTCCCCACAGCATGTCTGTAATAGAACCTATTCCCCACAGCATAAGTCTGTACTAGCACCTATTCCCACAGCATAAACTAATAGCACCTATTCCCACAGCATAAACTAATAGCACCTATTCCCACAGCATAAGACTGTAAGCACCTATTCCAACAGCATAAGTCTGTAATAGCACCTATTCCCACAGCATAAGTCTGTAATAGCACCTATTCCCACATCATGTCTGTAATAGCACCTATTACCTCAGCATAAATCTGTAATAGCACCTATTCCCACAGTATAATTCTGTACACAAGTTACCATTATGTAGAAAGAAGAATTACACTTACACATCATACAGTTTCATATGCCCATCATCAGATGCAGTCAAAAGGAGTTGTGAGTCGGGAGAGAAACATAAGCTGCGGATCGGCATAGCATGCCCTTCTAGTGTGTGCTTGATCTTGCCCTGTGCAACGTCGAATATGTTGATGATGCCATCCAACGCTCCACTGGCAATATACTTGCCATCGGGGCTCTGAAAATATTCATAATTGCAAGTTATTAAAGGGCCTGTTTCACTACACTGTTAGTTCATGATGGTTAAACCAGGGTTCGAAAATATCCGATATTTATTATAAATATCAAAATATCGGATATTTATGATATATATCCGATATATATCAACTTTGATATATATCAATTTTGTATGAAAGCCAAAGTATTATTTTATTGTATTATTCATGAATACAATTGCATATGTGTTACATAAACATGTTTTTAATGTTTTTAAAACTTAAAATCAGACAAATAAAGCAAAAACATAAAATATCTTTGAAATACGGCAAAATCAACTAAAAAAATAAAAATCTTATATCAAAAAGTACAAATACAGTGACAAATTTTAAAAGTTGATATATATCATCAAAACCGGCTTGATATATATCGGATATATATCCGATATATATCTTGATATATATCCCTTGATATATATCCTCGAACCCTGGGTTAAACCACTCAAAATTTTTAAAAGTTGTTTCTCTGCAGACTTCAGTCATTGAAAATAATGCAGTAGGGTCAGTACCATGGGTAAAATATTATTGCTTACAAGATATTGTACAAAATATAGAAATATTTCTAGTAAAACTATAAAAAAAAACTTACATAGGCTACACTCAGTGTGAATTTTCCTCTAGTATCCAAGGTCTGTTCTTGCTTCCCAGTCTCCACACTAAAAATCAATATTTTGCCAGCATTGCTGCCTGAAATAACATGCTTGCCATCCGGGGAAAAGTCTAAAGTCCACACATCTGTTGACCCAGTTTCCATTGTCTTTATTTTATCACCAGATGCAATATCCCAAAGTATTAGTGATGAATCTTGGGAACTACTGGCTAGAGCTGAAAAAAAAAGTTGGTTCTCTTAATTATTCTGCCTAATAGCTTCAATGGTGCGTATTTGAATTGAAGCACACTGGTTTTGCCAATGTTGGTTCTATTATTTTAAAATTAAAGAGACATGACATAACAAACAAGTAATGAGTAGATTATACCTACAAAAACTGTACTATAAATCAATGTGTAATGGGGCTTACTTTTTCCGTCGGGGCTTACGGCAACTGAGATAACTCCAAGGGAATGGCCTTCCAGTTTATGTTTCAATTCAAGTTTACCATTTTCCAACTGCCATATCTTAATCAGGTCATCAAGACCTCCAGTGATTACATAGGTTTCTGCGGCTTCTTGCGAATGATTAGAGTCCCTAAAATTAAATAATACATAATGTTTCACTGCAGCACTGCGCTGGATGATGGATGGTAAGGTTATAAAATACTTACTGAGATTGCTCAACATTTTCATCGTCTTTGGGCTTCTCGTTACCAATTTTACTCCATCCACAGCACCAAACAGAATCTTCATGAGCATTTTCTTTTTTTAGTTGTAAATAGTACTGAAAAAACCAAACAATATTGAAAACAGAATGCCGGTGGGTCGTTTAATAACTACAACAAAATTTTTGATTACCAGTGTAGTGATAGACATGTTTCTTTAAGTGATTGTAAATTATAGGTGCCTTAATATTAGGTATTGTATCGTCCAATAAAACTAAAGTTAAAGATCACAAAATACAATCAAATCAAAAAACACAAACACGAAAACTCGCTATTTTTGACAGTAGCAAGCAAACAAATTTGACATTGATTGACGTGCTGCAACCACCAGTGTTGCCAGTCGGGTCTTGTCAGAAATTACCAGAAATATAAAAAAAAGTAACCTTTTTGAATAAAAAGTAACCTTCANATTGTGTAAGGTTGTTCATGGATGGAAAATGAATGAAATTGATCACCGATCGCTTACCTAAATTCAAAATTTTGACCATTCCATGAAGACCGAAAAGTGACCGGTCGTATAAAAACGTTTCATGGATTTGCGTTTTATTAAAACTTTTTTTTTTTTAAGAAATAATAAATCAAATTCATGTTTAAATGCAGTTAATGACATAATTTTTAAATTGTCACTATTAATATTTTTTACTGAATAACCTGTAAAAGTTAATTATACAATTTCTGAAAAATCACCTAAAAGTAACCTTTTCATTAGTGTAACCTAAAAGTAACCAATGCAGTTCAAAAGTAACCTAAAAGGTTACAAAAGTAACCTTCTGGCAACACTGGCAACCACAGAGCAACAAAGAGTGGCAGTTCAATTTTTTTTGGTTTTATTTAGCTTTGAACTTTACTCTGAAGCTCGATTTCCACTAAAATAAACCAATAATATCCAAATTGTTTCAGTTAGCAATTCAATACAATCCATATTTTTATGCTACATTTCCTCTTGAAGAATCTAATTGGCTAAAAACGAGAGTCCAAGACTGAAAATATGAAAGTTACAAATACATTTTGTCTATGGATAGTAGTGTTGTTACCATACCGATTAATCAAGTTCAATTTCTATTTATATTGAATTATTTTTGATACATTAAGATATTATATTTTGATTTATACGTATAAGTTACGATAAATGTGAAAATTATGAATAATTACCGCATGGTTTGGTAAATTGGGCATTATGGCAAAGTAATTTTACTCAAGAAACAATCCAAACTCATTATGCCAAATAAAATTAATATTTATGATATCAAAACGTTCAAAATGTGTGGCTGTATACGAGCACTGTACACGAGCCGGTGTGTTCTCTTTTATGATACTTGTTATTACTAAGGTTACATTATGAAATAATCACTGATGAATGTCTTTAATTTATCACTTTTACCTCGTCTGTCGGTAATTAATAATTTTCAGTTGACAACATTTATTTTATCGTATCATATTATTAGTACCTACATAAAGCATTTTATATTTCATGATATATTTTTTTCCTCTCATTTCTTTCTTTTAAACTAATTGCCGAACGAATTTTACCTATTTAGTCCAAAGGTTAACTGGCAGAAAATTCTCAATGACAATAAGTTCGCCTTATGTATGTACCAAACCAACTATATTATTATGGTATAATAATAAATAAATATTTTATATTGTACAGAATAATAATTTATTGTACCGAGAGACATAGTTTGTAGTGAATATAGACAAGAAGATAACAAAATTTCAAGCACCTTTCAAACTTATTACGGCTTCTTGGAAGAAAGATTACAAAACACACTAGTAATAAGTTTATTTTATGTAAGTTCGACTAAGAACGCTCGTTCGTTCGTTCGTTCGAACGAACGAACGAGCGTTCTTAGTCGTAATAAAGTCGTTAAAAAAAATAAGTTTATTTTATGTAAGTTCGACTAAGAACGCTAATCCTTGTTTATTTTTCTTAAACATTCACCAACGCTTTGTAACAAGGCTTTGAAACAAAGATAAGAAGATACCTTCACTAATGGACTTTTTTGTGTATGAATAACAAAAACACCAGATAACGTTCTATTTTCACAACATTCCTCATAGCTTTGTTACGACTTTTTGAAACAAAGATAACAAAATACCAACACTAATGACTTTTCTTTTGTGTAAGAATGACTCAAAACAAATTAGCACTTTTTTTTCAGGAAAACGTTCACCAAAGCGATAACACCAAAGTATTGTTTCAAGTTTGTGTAAGAAAGATAACAAAATACAATAATAAATGCTTTTGTAGAAGTATTAAAAATATGTAGATTATTAATAATTTCCCAGAATGTGCGCCACTAAAAAATTATCATAACTTGGTATTTTTTACCGAATTTTAGATTTAAAAAGCATCGTTTAAAATCTATTACTCGGTAAAATTCGGAATACCCACTTTAATTTCAAAACTTATGAAGGTGTTAAATTTGGCATATCAGCCTGCAAAGATAATGTTTACAATTAATTATAAACTTATTTACGAATCATCGTCTATTAGAACACTAACACTAATGCCAATAATCCAACACTCATTCGTAGAATCTCTAAAGTTCTTCATTATTACTAAAAACTTATTTCGGCTTCTTGGAAGAAAGATTACAAAACACTTTTTAACCTAATTATGTTTATTTTGTGTAGAAAATATTTTTTGTATGATTTTTATATTTTTTTTGTATATAGGGTGTCAGGGAAATGGGTATATGTGCCGACACTAGCCCATGTTAACATGGTCATATAAATGGTATGGTGAAGTCAGAAAATTGATATCTTCATTTTAATTATTTAAATTTTCATATAAATCGGATTTTATAAAATTTATTTTGTATAAAAATTTAAAAAAAATTAATAATGATATCCAATTTCTGACTTTACCATACCATTTATATGACCATGTTAACATGGGCTAGTGTCGGCTCATATACCCATTTACCTAACATCCTGTATTTTTATGAAAACATTCACACAAGTTTGGTTTCGACTTTCGGCTTCTTGAAAGAAAAAATACAAATACAAGAAAAATGAATGACTTTGTTTTGGGTAAGAATAACCAAAACACCAGTTAACATTTATTTTTCCAAAACATTCACCACAGCTTTGTTATAGCTTTTTGAAACAAAGATAACAAAACCTACACTAATGACTTTTCTCTCTTGTGTAAGAATAACCAAAACACCAGATAACGTTTACATTTCTAAAACATTCGTCATAGTTTTGTTACGGCTTTTTGAAACAGAGATAACAAAATACCAACACTAATGACTTTTCTTTTGTGTAAGAATGATTAAAAACAAATTTAGCACTTTCATCAAAGCACAGATAACAACAAAGTATTGTGGTTACGACGGGTTTGTGTAAGAAAGATAACAAAATACAATGTGAAATACCTACTTTTGTGGAAGGATTAAAAATATGATTATTTTGCCAATTTTAGAGGAACTTGAGTACCGAGGTTGTAAAACAAAAGGTATAATCTATTTTTGTGAATAATTGACACGTGCCTATTTTATTTTTATGAAAGAATAATTAGTTAATTACATACGTAATTAATGTCTGCTTACTGAGTTCTACTACTGACTCACGTAAGTACTTATGTAATCACGTATTTTAGTTGCCTAATGGATACGTTGTTGAGTGAGCAATCCGTGAAAACATTAAATTAATTTACTTAATGATCCATAAATATTTTTGTGACTTTTATTTACGGCAAAAAATAATGAACATTCCTTAATATTTTTATCCGAATGGTACAATAAATACCTAGTATAGTTTTGTACTATTACCTATTCTGTGGTATTACCTATTCTGTGGTATAGTATAACTTTATGCGAATGTATTGCATTAATGACGAATACAATAATGTTAATAGTCATAGAATAAAATAAACGCAATAAAAAGTAATAATTGATTTATATCATAAGATATCATAAGATAGGTACTAATCATATTTTATAAAGCAGAATAATTATATTATATACCAATGTAAACCTATATTATACAACATAATACATTTTAAACTATTCTTTTCTATAATACTTTATCGAATTTCTTAATACCTACTGATCAGGAACAATATAATATTGAACTCAAGCAACTGGAGGCACATTGTTATTTTAATATGTATTACATTTTTATTCTTAGTTTACCCACTGACTGATTTAGCATTAAGTAGAACAACAGCTTCTGAGTCTAGAAAACTTCATTAGTATAATAAATTATATTTATCAAGTTACTATAATATATTATTATTCTGTCGTTGTGCCTTTAAATAAATAAGAACAAGAACTTTTACACGTCGCATGCGACAGAATACCTATACTGAAATTAATTAAAAACACCAATTTGTAATCATGTTCTTGCTAATAAATAATTTTACTATTATTACCCACATTAAATATAATAAGTAAGGCTTTGTATTTGTAGGTACATACTTTTTTCTTTTATATTGCTTTGAAAACTAAATGAATAAATTTTTTATCGGACCAACTCGTAATTTGTAGTAAATTGATGGAGTTCTGCGGTAGCAAAATGTAGCTTTATTTGAAGTAGGATAATCAAAACTCCAATTTGTATTTTGATTATTATTATAAGTATTTTTTTTTTAAATCTATAATACTATTTTAATTATCATTACTTAACCACAATAATTATATCATACAATCATCAGTTAAAAGTAGTGAAATAGCTAACCTAAGAATTTTGAATCAAAGGTGGGCTAAATACAAGTTACAGGTTTTTTTTCTTATAAAATTCTTATAATTTTTAAATTCAAAGATGTTTGAGTTGATATTAAATAATAATTATTTTCCAAACCATAAGTATTGCGAATGTTTCTAAATATTTCAATTACTAGCCTAACCTAACCGGCGACTTTCATACCGCCAATAAAAAAAAATAGTCTAAATATTATCTACTTTCCACTTTATAATATTTGTGTAGATAAGTGCAAAATCACAAATAATTAGTAATGTAATTACTATGTTATTAAGTAAAAACAACCATAATCAACTTAAGACTTCTAATCGCTTAGTCACATCGATTAGCAAATGATTCATTCACTCGATCAAATACTCGCATCGGACATCACTGGGTATAAAAGGCCCTGACGTTACCCGTTTTGCGTCAGTGTGTGCGTTGCGTCAGTCGTGAACAGTCGTGAACGGTCGCGCTGTCTGTGGTCGCATCTACGAGGTGTCATCATTCTGTTTGTGTCTGAAAAGTGAAGCCACAGTTTTGTGTTGATCTTTGCCATAACCAAGCAATAATTGTGTGTGTTTATTACGAACTTTATTCTAATTACTGTGATAACGTTGAATCGAACTTGTGTTTCGTGAATCACAATGGCAGTATCGAAATCAACTAACACTTACAATCGTCAGAATTGGGAAGATTCCGTAAGTTATTTGACCTTTCGTGCGAATTTTTTACTGTATTTCATTTGAAAATTGAACAAATTATTAACACAGGTTTTTTTCTATTGCAGGATTTTCCCATTTTGTGCCAGACCTGTCTTGGAGATAACCCCTATATTCGAATGGTAAGTTTTTCCATATGCCTTTTAAATTGCAGCATGCTTTTTGACTATGTAATACATTTTCATTTACATAACGGCCCCCTAGAGTTATTTGATGTAAATTTAAATGTTGTGTCCATTTTAGTGAAGAGAGGTTATTTTTGTTCCTTTTTTCTCCCTACTAATAGTAATTTAAAGTATAATTCCTATTAATTAATTATTCCTTGGTTTTCATTCTATCGTGATGTTACAACTGTTGTTATTTTGTTCCAGACAAAAGAAAAATATGGCAAGGAGTGTAAGATATGTGCACGTCCCTTCACTGTATTCCGCTGGTGCCCTGGAGCGAGGATGCGTTTCAAGAAGACTGAAATCTGCCAAACATGCTCAAAACTGAAGAATGTCTGTCAAACTTGTCTTCTAGACCTTGAGTATGGGCTTCCAATCCAAGTGCGAGATGCAGCACTCAAAATCCAAGATGATCTTCCACGGAATGAAGTGAATAAGGAGTATTACATCCAGAACTTAGATAGTCAGATGTCTAAGTTTGATTCTACACAACCCAGCAACTCTGCTCTCAAGTCTAAGGGAGCATCGGACTTGTTGTTGCGCTTAGCGAGGACTGCCCCATACTACAAGAGAAACAGACCCCATGTGTGTTCATTCTGGGTGAAAGGAGAATGCAGGAGAGGCGAAGAGTGCCCATACAGACACGAGAAGCCAACAGATCCTGATGATCCTCTTGCCGACCAAAATATCAAAGACAGGTACTTAACCCTTCTATCTACAATTACTTTTTGTATTAGTTACCCATTTCGTTTTCATTTCTCTAATAAATTGTGCTTTTTCACAGATACTACGGTGTGAATGATCCTGTAGCAGAGAAGCTAATGCGTAGAGCAGCTGCCATGCCAGCGTTGCCTCCGCCAGAAGACAGAACCGTCACTACCCTCTACATTGGCAACTTACCTGATAACATCACTGAAGAGGAGCTCCGAGGACATTTCTACCAATATGGAGAAATTAGGTTCGTATCAACCCAGAAAATTATAAAATTAAATAAATTTCTCACTCTTTGTTATATGGGATTCTAAAGTTCAATGTGTTTGCAGATCACTGACCTTGGTGCCGAGGGCGCAATGTGCGTTCGTCCAGTACACAACAAGAAGCGCTGCAGAGCATGCTGCTGAGAAGACTTTCAACCGACTTGTTATTGGAGGAAAACGCCTTACCATCAAATGGGGCAAATCACAAGGTAATTTATCTTTCAGTATATTATTTGATTTATTTTGAATATTATTTTATTTACCTATATTTTGTCATAGATGAACTGTACTAACCCATTTTTATCTTTTTAGGACGGCAAGGCATCAACGATAAGAACGAGCCAGCACCAGTTTTGGAGCCTGTTCCTGGACTACCAGGGACTCTGCCACCACCGCCGGCGTTCCTACATCCATTCCCGCCACAGGTATGTTACATCGACTTTTTTATGCCTCTAGTGTGAGATTGATTCAAATTGTTTTATTTAGACTAGTGACATATTATTAATGTTCGTTTTCTTTGTCAACAGATGCCACCTCCGCCGAATCGTCCGAACGACTTCTTCAATCTGCACCACTACGGCGGGCCGGCCGCTTGGGGTGGTTGGGCGGGTGGTGTTCCGCCACCAGCGCCGCCACCACCTGCACCTCTTCCGTTGCACTACCCTAGCCAGGATCCCGCTCGGTTGGGCGCCCACGCTCACGCAAATACACCCCAGACCTAGTGCATCGCCGGGCGGTCGACGAGCCGGCACCCGAGCGGCTGACCGAAACCCGCCACGGCTTTCTTCGGGCCGATCGACGATTATCGCTCCAATGGCTCACCGTTGTCGGCGACGATGGGAACGAAAGTCGCATGTTGTGACACATCTTTGGCACCGGAGGTATCTCCATAGTCAGACTCAACGCCGCAAATTGTAATCTAGTTTAGTTTGGCTTTGCCATTCTTTATTTTTTTGTTAGATATAAGTTTTAATGAATTTAATATTGTGTTCGATGTTTGATTTGTATATTGTAAAATTATGAACTATGACTCCAAAATATTGTGGATAATAGTTACCAACATTTTGTAACAGTACTTATGTATTATTTTAAATAACAAAATTGTTAATATTAAGCAAGTGTGATTCTGTATATAAAATTATAATAAATGTCTGAACACAAGTTTCAACTCTATTATTTACAACTCCTTACTCCTAATTAGCAAATGAAACAGTAGACTCTGAAACTATATTTATTAATATTAATTATAAGTTTAACATGACTTAATCGTTACAAAACAGTAAACATTTAGATAAACCTACACGCCTTCTCTTACCATTATCTGGGTAAGGACGGTCTGGTAAATAATTTACAGTACATACACTAGGCCCAGATACATAAATACTACTTACTGAGTGTATCCTACTTAAAGACAGTCATGTAAAATTATAAATATTGTAAGCGGTTTTAGTAAAGTCAATTTTCAAAGCTATGTAGTCGGTGACTAGTAAGAGTTAGGTTGTCACTTACACTTTATTTATATTACACCATTGTGCAGTGAAGGAATCTTTCAAGTATAAAAGGCAAGAAAATTCGTTACTTGAAAGATCATTGATTAAGTAAATGGTCCAAGTACGTACATTTACTGAATTAACATTTAAATACACCTACATTTACCAAAAAATTCAATATGAATTATTATTGAACTTTAAGAAATTGAAATCGATATCTTCTAAATATGCAAGTCGACAGATTGATTAAAGTTTTGGAATGTTCACTCTACTTTTCGAAAAAGAGGGAATAATTTTATGATTAGAATAATACAAAACAACGTAATGAAAACACCAACTACTTTAAACACGATTATTTCACGATGTGATTGCATGTGACTATAATATTATAAAATAGCTTGCAATTTTCGAATTGATTAATTATGAATGCGGGATAAATAAGGTAAATTCTTGTATTTCTTATGATGTTTAAAGCATCTGTAAGCTCATATCGATTTAAAATAAATATCTTTCAGCTAACTAAACGGTCTCAAACCAGCATTTCTTAATATTCAATAACATTATTTAAAAAATGCGCAAACGATATTAAGTTTAACAATATTATGAAATTAATTACACAGCCATATCACATTTTGGCCGTAAAACTAAACAACTTTATAATTATTGATATCAAGCTTGAACACAGCATAATGCATTTTTTGATAATATTTTTTCATAATAAATAATGAACATGCAGCATACTGTATTAAATTTTCTATGAAAGAATCTAATCGAACCTCAGCTAGCGCAGAATCTCATTAATTTATCTTATAATTTAAGAAACGAAATATTTTACCGCCAAAAAGTATGTTGATTATACGTTAATCTATCAACTTTGATCAAACATTTGAGGTAGAATACATGTGTAGCGATATAAATTGCAAAATGTATTCATACAACAATATTATTTATTATTTATACAATAAAAAATTCAGGAAAATATGCTGAATTATATTATAACTATTGAAAATACTATCATTAGTTCTGCTGTACTTCTGTGACGTCGTCGACTTCACAATCAGAGTCACTTTTCACATCCTATTACACCTGGAACAAAATTAAATGTCAGTCAAAAATTCTGTACTAATAAAATCTAAAACGTAAAGTCGTCTGTTTAAAGGTATGATTTCATAAAAATGCTCAAAATCCCAAGGAATATGCTCCAAGTTTTTGTACTGATGGACGTTGGGGCAGAAAAGTTTTCCTTGAAAATACAATGTGAGAATATCTCCCATCGGTGATCTGACAATCTGGTGAAGGTCACCGGTTGTATGAAATTCATTGGTGGAGGCTATGTCCAGGTGTGGCCGTCTTTTAGTCCAAGCCTGGCAAGCGAAGGGTCGTGGGTTCGATTCCCGCCTTGGGCAGTTCGATATTTTCAAGTTATTTATAATTTACGATCCCTTGCCAAGTTTATTTTTTGTTGAAGTGCTATCGGTTTACTATCGGAGTTACTCCGAGAGCAAGGCAGTGTTTATTTTTCCGGGCTATTTGATAAGTGTGCTACGACTCTTAGCAGGTAATCACCGGCGGCTAGTAGCGGTTGGCGTTGGCGGGCTGCGCGTTGACGGCGGCGAGGAAGGAACTATAGGAAAAACAAAAGACTCGTCACGCCAGCGTTGCCAGTTTTTTTTTTTCGCCAAGTCGGGACTTTGGTACTTTTTGAGTGAAAATAGCGGGATTCTTCCGTCAGAAGCGGGACATAGTAAAAAAACGTATAATAATCAAAGGTTTTCAAATATTTATCTTTTTATTTGACTTAAAATTACGTTTACGTGACAATAGATAGCAAAAGTAGCTATAGAAAATGTATTTTAACAATAAAAATAATATTTTAAATCAGATTTAGTACGTACGCCACGTACGGTCGAGTTCTCTCCGAAAAGCGGGACCGAGCCTGTCCCGCGCGGGACATTTAAATTTGATTTAAAAATCTGGACGTCCCGCCAAAATCGGGACGTCTGGCAACGCTGCGTCACGCGTTCGTGACCTAGCTCCGCGTATGGAAAAACGCAACTCCGCTCACTTTATCGCTCCATTCCACTGTTTCGCTCTGCTGGTTGCGCAGGATATATCGACAGTAGTCATATAGACCGTGCAGTGTCGAGGGTAGCGGGTAGTTACCGGCGGCTATAGTCTGGTCCGGGAGCACGTAGAATTTTGTCCAATGACCCCAAGCTACCCATCCTTATCGCTCGCGCGTAATTATATTGCTGTCGCGACTGTGCGACGGGCGCCTGCAGTGAGTGTGCGAGCGCGACAGCAACATAATTACGCGCGAGCGATAGGGATGGGTAGCTTGGGGTTAGTGGACAAAATTCTACGTGCTCGCAGACCAGACTATAGTAGCGGTTGGCTTTGACGGCGGCGCTGTAGCAGGATATATCGACAGTAGCCATATAGACCGTGCAGTGTCGAGGGTAGCGGGTAGTTACCGGCGGCTAGTAGCGGTTGGCGTTGGCCAGCAGCGCGTTGACGGCGGCGGCGCTGGAGTAGGATATATAGACAGTAGTCATATACAGGGTGGAAACGATAAGTGATCTCATTCGATTATTTCTAAACTATACAAGATATCGAAAAACTGATTACTGATCCTGAAAGTGCTTCAAGAGTTCATTCAAACGGTATCTGTAATAGTTTACAGAATTAACTGGATCTATCCGAAAAATCAATGTTTTCAGCCTCCATACTAAATGTATGCCGGCCACACAATATTAGAAGTGTTAAATGTTTTTATTAAATAATAAACACTTAAAAAACATTGGTTTTAGGCTTTATTTGCTATAATATTATCAAGACATGAGTGCCATGACTGTAGCAGTACTAAATGTATGGAAGCTGGAAACATTGAATTTTCGGTTAGCTCCAGTTTATTTTGTAACTTATTATTGATACCGTTGGATAGAGCTCGTGAAGCACTTTCAGGATCAGTAACCAGTTTTTGGATATCTTGTATAGTTTAGAAATAATCGAGTGAGATCACTTATCGTTTCCACCCTGTACACCGTGCAGTGTCGAGGGTAGCGGCTAGATTCGTCGGCCGTTTGGTGTAGTAGTTCAGAACGGACTACTATGCCGAGAGGTCCCGGGTTCGATTCCCGGCCGGGCAGAAATTGAAATGATGAATTTTAATTTCTGTAACGGGTCTGGGTGTAAATATGTATAATATGTATGTGTTTAATTAAAAAAAAAAGTATATAATAAGTAGTATATCCGTTAAGCTAGCACCCATAACACAAGCATTGAGTTGCTTACTTTGGGGCTAGCTGGCGCTGTGTGAAATTGTCCAAAGATTTATTATTATTATTATATTTACTTTTTTTTTCTTTTAATATTGTAATTTTTTTTATTTTGTTTTTTCTCTTTTGTTTGTTTTTTGTGTATTGTCTCATCTCATGTTTGTTTCCAGCTCTCTCCAAAAATGAACACCGCAGAATAACAGCGTCGTGTTCTGGTTTTATTTACCACTCCAGAGCATGACACATGCTGAGCGGTGGCCAATTTTGGTTCTAACTTATACTTGTTTTTTGCTGATTCTGTGTGTTATATTTTTTAAGTTTGAACCAAATAAATGTTTTTCTTTCTTTCTTCTTTTCTATAGTTACCGGCGGCTAGTAGCGGTTGGCGTTGGCCAGCTGCGCGTTGACGGCGGCGGCGGCGGCGCTGGATGCAGCGGTCTGCACGTGCTGGTTGCGAAGGATCTCCGTCGAGAACTCCGCCTGCGCCTTGGCTAAAGACGCGCCCGTCGACCGGTAGATGCGGTGCACCTAAAGAGATCATAATTTGGTTATTTTGATTCGAAAAAAAAAGGATAGGAGAGTCAAATGAGACATTTTTAGGAGTTGGGGGCATCCATTAATTACGTGAGACGTTTAGGCGGGTGAGGGGGTCAAGAAAAACCTCACTAAATCTCACGTAGGGGAGAGGGGGGGTCTCGAAAAATATCACGTAATTTTTTTCAGCAAGAAAAAGGGTCAAATTGCGAGAAAACTGGGTTATTTTAAATAATTAAAAGAACATAATTTGATGATGATATATTTTTTTTAATTTTTATTCTAAACCGTCTAAACAATAAAGAAATTAGAAGAAACAGTTTTTTTTATATTAAATCCTAATCGAAGCATAGATTTACACATTTACATTGCAAACATGTATTTTAAGAAATCTCACGTGAGATAGAGGGAGGGGGAGGGGGTCTGGGAAAATCTCACCAAGGGGAGCGGGGGGTTTGACAATTTGCCAAAATTGTCTCACGTAATTAATGGACGCCCCCTTGTCAGAACGATCCTAATCGTAGGGCCTTATTACAAATTAAGGTTTCTTTCTATAAGTTAGTTCAAGAAATGACTCTTGAAATGAGTCCAATCCTTCCACAATCTTTCTAAGTAATTTGCTAAAATGTAATTTTACGCCATACCAATTTTGATGGCTATGACGCCTACGCAGATTGATAAAAATGCTTTAAAATTTCAATAACTAGATAGAACGTAACACTTTAATATTAAGCGACAAATTGTAATAGGTTCCTAAAGTAATAAGTACCTTAGTCATGTACATAACATCCGCGACAGCGCAAGTTATAAACCCGATGGTGATTAGTGAGGTGATAACACCAACCGCCACGTTCTTTTTGTACGCTTTGATGGTCGTGATCAGTCCACTGAAATAAAAAATTAAGTGTTACACATCATTATGCTGTGTTACCACTAATTTCATTGTCGTTAAATCTTGATGAATTGTCGTTGACGCCTGATCGAGTTGATAAAAATTGGTTATAAAAAATACAGAATTATTTAGATTTTCAGCAGTCAGAAAAGAAAAGTGTGTAAGCTAAGAATATTAAATTTTTTATCGAATTTTGTGCAAATAATTAAATTCGGATTTGGATTTTGTAAGATTATAGCAGATAAGAAAGATAAAACTTTACAATAGATAAATGACATTGCATCATAACATAATAAAATGACAATATCTACATGTGTCATTGATAACTCACCAAAATCCTCCATCCTCAAATCCGATGCTCTGTATAACCGTGATGATGATTTGGAACAGGAATATGAAGAAGTACACCATAAAGTTGAACGACGAATCGCTTCTGAACGCCTTGTAGATCGGCCGGTACCAGCAGACGAAACTGAACGGCGTCAGGAGGATGAAGAATAGGATGCTGAGACCGAAGGTGGATGCGCCGAGGTCCACCGACATGATAGAGATACCGCCGATTATGTTCACTGCTAGGATGAGCGCGTGGACTGGAAAATAAAGGTGTTATTAATGATACAATGTGATGGGCACCAACCAAAGGGTGCACGTAAGGGCTATATTTCACCGGGACACCATGGCGGCGCAACCAGTCGCCGGCTACCAACAAAATGTATACAGCTCTATAGAGAGTTACTCACCTGGTGTCCGTTTGGTTGCGCAAAGCTGCATACATTTTATTGGTAGCGGCGAGTGCGGCGACTGGTTGCGCCGCTATGGTGTCCCGGTGAAATATAGCCCTAAAGGTAGCTCTTCCCTGCTTGAAATAGGATCTAGGACTTACTAGGTATTCTAAGAGCGACTAAAATCTGATTAAACTGCACACACATTGGCCTGGCTCCAAAGCTTTTCACTACTGTTTTTTTTCCAAATGGTGTACTGAAAGGTGCATTCAGTACACCCATTAATGAGTTACTAGAATGTTGCAAAAAGTTACTGCAAAAAGACCTAGTTTCTAGCTTTATGCATCTCGTAGATGAGGACTCCAATGCATTGACCATTATATTAAATTATTATGACTGATATATACATACACTGATATAGATATACATGATAAGAATGTTTGTCTTTACGTCACCTATATCAATTTCTACTTATTTATCAACATTGCCCGAAACAATGATATGAATCATTACTTATAAGTAAGATCCACATTTACGATATTATGATCAAGTCATGTAAACAAGTAACACAGGGGTAATTTCTTGACTGTTGTAATTAAGCAGAAAAGTTGCAGGTTGATTCTGTATTGTACTACCATAAACAAATAATGATCAAAGTACGTAATAATATTCTAAAGTTACTAAATATCAACAAACAGATGTCTTCTCCAATCATCTAAAGAGACCAATTTAGAAAGTACTATTACTTTGTTCTAGTACTTACACATCCATAAATGGTACAGGTGGCGAACAATTCTCTGGAACTCCAGGGGAATATCCACATTGATGTCCTGGTAGAAGCACGGTTGGACAGGACAGAAGGCGGGCAGGGGAGGCCAGTTGTTGCGCCGGCCCGCGGATCCCGCTCTTAGTTCAGCCTCACGCCTCGCTAGCTCCTCAGCTTTACGTTCCAATTCCTCTTGTCTTCTCTGCAGTTCGATTTCGGATAACGTCATTATTTACACTGTGAGAGCCTAATTTTACACTTGGAATGTTTGATGATTGAGCGATAGTATGTTTATGCCCGTTTTCACCATCAATACCTACGCCCTTACTAATAAAAAGTTACACAGTTGTTGAACACTTTTTTAAAATGACGTTTCCGTACTAAACGTCATTCTAAAACACTGTTCAACGAATCTTTAAGTGATCCCTATGTAAAAAAATTCTTGTTATGTGTTACCATAGGTAGGTGTCACTTACAAATTAGGGATTGATGGTGAAAACGGGCATTCGTTTCATTGATTTACACTTGCAATTTGAACAAACACTGTGGTTAAGTATAACTATGATTAATGTATACTAGAATCTCAGTAACTCAACAGATAACAGACACAAGACTAGAACGTAAGTTTGTCTCTTTTCAGAGAGTGTCAGCCCACTCAAAAGTTAAACAGGGAAGTCATTCATTTCAATTACTTAGCTACGTTACTTCGAAACTACGAGTGGACTAGTTGGAAACAGTGCACTAAATGAAACTAATGTGCTGAACAACAGCTATTATTTGTTAAAACATGTGTTGACTTTCTATAATTAATTACATCTAATTGATGAACATGTTAGTGTTATGAAGTGCTAAATGACAGTATTACACCAACCAGTTAAAATTATATTCATTATGTAAGTTTCAATCTAATTGATAGAATGATAATAAATACATTTATTTAAGTAATATTTTATAATGAAAATAATTAAATGTTGGGTTCATTTACCTTCAGCTCCTTTTGTGCGTAAAAAAGCAAAGTGCGTGTTAATAGCATGCAATGTAAAGTATTTCACAAATTATATCACACAGTGGTTTGAGGACATTTTCTAGATGAGCATTGAGTACTACAGCATGGTATTTTCACAAGTGCTAATGATAATATACTTTGCTTAATAGTTAATATGTATACATAGTATAGTCGGTAAAGTAGTTATCATTAGGGATTTTAGTGACCTAAGTCATTTTTAAAGAAAGATTGATGTAAATGTGAAGGTGAAATAGATTTAAAAACAGTAATTTGTTAAGCTGTAATGTGATGATATTGTTACTCATCAATTTATAAAACAAAATATACACTGCAGATAACAATATTTTGGAGTGTCTTATCTTTTATTCCTATTTTGATTACGAATTAATTCTGGTGTTTAAATGTCACCCGTGATAAGCATTCTAATTTTAATGAAAAAAATTACACACACCAAAATTACTCATGTTTGTTTTATGAATAAAGATAAATCTGAGAGTGCACAAAAACTTTGTAATTAACATTGTTTTGTAAACATTTCAATTTACGGTGCAATGCAGTGACATTAAATGCTCATTTAGAGAGCATCTACTTCTACTATTAATATGTAAACACAGATAACACAACTTTTTATTTCAATACCTATTTCTATGAAGAATTTCTTAATAAATCATTCTAATTATACCCAGGTTGTAAAAACCATTGAATACATAAAAGTTATCCATATTAGGTATATTATATTTTTAAGTACTTGGATCTATAGTATTCGAGGTACTTATTTGATTGGTGTATATGATAATGGTTGTTCTGTTTTATTTAATCAGCTGACTTATTACAAGCTAAATTACATACCTGAAAGTCTGCAGTGGTGAAGTTGGGTGGAGCCTGCGACTGCGGCTGAGGCTGCGCGGGCCGGGCATACTGTGTGTTGCTGGGAGGAGACACCGCCTGCATGATCGCAGGCTGTGTCGGCTGCTGCGCTGGCTGCAATCCACATCGCTCATTACACAACACATCCACAGATTTTTAGCCTCAATATAGGTATTTATCAAATTAATTAGAACAGAAAATAACGGGAAACTATGCTGCTGATAAGAGATCTCTACAATTAAGGCCAGTAGGAAAAAATCCCAAGAATGTAGCATGCAATGGAATGACCACACATTAAATTATGAGCCTATTAGGCAGCAAACTTGTTGGGCGACTTTGATATCAGCTACACAGCATATTATTATCTCAATCGTTGCAAGTTTTATCGACACCCACCGAACTACATGACTAATGGGCAACATTTACCGTATTCTGATTTGCATTCTGCTGCCCGTCGAAGGGATTGTAATCGTCGAGACCCTGCGTAGCATTGTTAGTACTTCTTGCCACTTGCTGTACCGCAGGGTCCTGGAATAAAACATACGAAATAATGCGACAAATGAATGAAAACAATCCCCTTTCTTCGTCGCAAAGGTACTTACAGCAAAGGGGTTGTCTATGGTTGGATCACTAAACGGGTTATCTTCGAATTTCGACATGATTTATGTGTAGTTTACGCCACTTTTTAATATTATTAGACCACCTAACACAGGACAAAGGATTTATTTAATTGTATTAACGTATTTTTAGCTCACAAGGAGATAACAAATCGACCGATATGACAGATTGCTGATGGTGACGAAAATTGACAGTTCTTCATAGGTGTTGCCATGACTAAAAAAAAAGTCATTATGAAAGACCCAAAAATAAATTATTTTATGAGTGTGTTGGATATGGTGGTATTGGTTGTGGTTGTGGTCGTTGTGGATGATATTGTACAAGGACTTAATAGGTACTTGAATTAAATATGATTTGATTACCTACTTTTCGTTTTATCCTGTGGCCTGTCGAGAAGAATCAGATGATTATTATTTCCGAAGACAGCACATTAGGCTACGAATGTACTTTTTTGTTACAAAATAGCATTCATTGGTGGACGTGAGCTGGTTTATTTTCATTCCTCTAACTATTATACATCGTCTATCACCACCATCCATTCAAAAATGTCATCTGATTGGTACATGAAACGAATTTAATGCAACAAAGCATTCTCTACCAGTGTAATGCGATAACAAAGCATGGTTGAGACTTGCTTGAAACCCAACCTAATCGTAATAGTGGTTATTACTGCAGAACAGAAAGTTACTTTAAAATACACACACAAAGTGAAACAAACAAGAGGGCGAATGAGAAAAAACTCATTTTTTGTCGGGTAAATCCGCGAAACAGTAAAAAACATATGTTCCGATCGATAAAAAAAAAACTGTTGTAGTTCTGGTAAATTAAACTTCTGAATAACGATTCATACAAGTTTCCACATAAGGCGCCATGATCCATATTGATTAAATACTTCAAGTTATTTCGATAATCAAGAAAACACGCACTAAACGTCATTACCATCACAGTAAAAGTACTGACCTTTGCCGTTGTCTTTTAATTTTTTTTACTTTACCTATACACAGACCAGATTTTGATTATAAATTTAAAATGTACATATTTACCGTGACAAAATAACAAAATTATATTGAAATCGTATTAGCCAATAAAATGGAATCATGAATTGAAATATTGTCACGAGAAATCGTCATAGCCATCGCGGCAGCATCAAAGGTTCTTTAATGCGGCTGCGACGCGACTTATCCCCGCTTGTGTCCGCGCGTCCCACTCTTCAATTCGTTGCTCGTAACAGAACAGAATGCACGTAAAATTTACGCAGCTCCGAGACTTTTTAAACTCCGAAAACGAGAGACACTCGCAGTTTGTCATCGGCTCGCGTCATTCCCATTTTGTGCGATTTAGTAAGTTTAATATATCGATATTTTTCTAATAATTAGCACTTTGTAGCATGTGATTACAATAAAAAAATGGCGATATTGAGGTGTCCCAATAGTGGTGACAATTATTTTTATATAATTTTAAAATCGTTTTCGTCATTACCATTAACATCATTACCATATCATTTAGGCTTATGGTGATGACACTTTGTATATGGTAATGATGACTATGAATGGTTTCCTAGTTATTTAGTTTTTGTATGTCACTTATTTAGTTTTGCCTCAACCAAGGTATTACAAAAACTAATATTTCCATTAAATAAGTACACTTGTTTAATTTTGCCACACTTTTATTGACCTAAATGTTGATTTATTCATTTTATTTTATTTGTTTTGTCAATGCAATTTTAGTCAAAATCTGTAAAATTGTTAAACAATACTAGAATATACCTACTTATTTAATACTTATAATTTTTTAACAAATTGTTATGGTAACCATCAACATCAGATTCCTATAACATTGAAATACAATTGAAAGAACCAACATGGAAATGAATATCAAAATTAAAATAATCCAAAAGCAATAAAACTGTAATAGGGATCTCTCCCTAGGGATCCATAGGGATTCCTTACCCTCAACGTCATAGCAGAACGACGTTCAATGTCTCTGCAGATCTCCGTCGACGCTAAGGCATATCGGCAGCTCAATAGACAGATATGGAAGTCCTTACAACATGATGTTCGCAACTTTAATACAAATAGTATTAAAGAGGCGATAGAGCGGAACCAAGGCTCGAAAGTGTTCGCAAGAGCCTACTCTATTGGGCGAAGCTAGCTTACGAAGCTGAAGACTGCGGAAGGTAGTGTAACGTCAACAAAAGCCGAGGTTCTGGATGAGATTGAAAAGTTTTATGGACAGCTTTATGGATTTATGGACAGGATGGCTCTCAAACACCTAAAGAACAACAAGGTACCGGGTGATGATGGAATAACCTCGGAGCTTCTGAACGCGGGTGGAACATCGATATTAAAGTCAAGTCCTTCAGAGACTATTTAACTTTTTCTTACTCCAGAGAACAACGCCAGAGGCATGGAACAGAAGCGTGGTGGTACTCTTCTTCAAGAAAGAGGATAAAACGTTGCTGAAGAATTACTGACTAATCTCACTTCTAAGTCATGTCTACAAGCTGTTTTCTAAAGTTATCACGAATGATCTCGCGCGTAGGTTCGATGATTTCCAGCCTCCCGAACAAGCCGGTTTCTGAAAAGTATCGGTACATACATATCGAGGTGCTGAAGTGCTTAAACACGCCACCATGTTGGTTCGAGTACAGGAGTGGAGTACGAGGGCGATTCCTCTGCAGCGAGGCATGAGGGAGATGTTATATCTCCGGATCTCCGAAACTATTCACTGCTGCATTGGAGGACGCTTTCAAACTCCTTGAATAGAAAGGATTCGGCATAAACATCAACGATGAGTACATCATTCACCTTCGGTTTGCCGACGATATTGTGTGGTCAGTGCAAAATCACTGGAAGACCTCGGCACAATGCTCGAAGACCTTAATCTCCCAAAAGGTAGGCCTTCGGGTGAACAACATGGAAAAACGAAGCTTTTGTCAGTTTTGTCGAATGTCTATGTTGCGCCCTACCCAGTTTTGGTTAGGAGCTCGAATCTCGAGATTGTCGACAAGTATGTCTACTTCGGACAAACGTTTCAACTAGGTAGAGAAAGAGGTCGAATCCAACTCGGCTGGGTAGCGTTCGGGAAACTACACAACATCCTTTCATCCAAAATATTTCAGTACCTAAAGACGAAAATCTACGATCTGTATGTGTTACCACTGATGATGTATGGCTCGGGAACGCGGCCTCTTACTATAGGCCTAATAAATAAGCTCAAAGTTGCACAGCGTGCTTTGAAGAGGGCTATGCTCAGTTTTTCTGTACAAGAGACAAGGCACATAGTACGCAGAACTGACAGACGATGGGGCAGCAAGGTTCTGGAGTGGAGGGCACGTACCAGAAAGCACAACGTGGACTTCATAAAGGTAGCAAGAAAGCACTGGATGCAGACCGCTACCAGCCGGTCATATTGAAAATCATTGGGGGAGACCTATATTCGGCAATGCCAAAGATGCCAAACTCTCTCTTTGATGACATTACAGTATAAAGTTACAAATAACAACACCAACTACAAAGTACTTCTGCTTCAAAACTTGAAATCGACCGCCCTTCCGCCACTGTAACGCATTGTAACGTTTTTCAAGACCTCCTCTCCCCCCAGATAGCATTACGTAACACTAGAACGCCCCCTTAGCAACAAATACCACTTCTCACTTTAAAAAAACGCTATTTTTGTTTTCACCCACCAGAATGGGTGATAATGGGTAAAAACCGGGTTTTTACCCAAATCACCCAGTTTAAACCCAATCGGGTGAAATGGGTTTTTACCCACTACCCATCTCTAGTGACAACTCGACCCCTGCGACAACTCAAACCCTGCGACAACTCAAACCCTGCGACAACTTGATTTTTTTCAACACTCAACACTTTTGACTTACTTCAAATGGTTTCACGACTGCTGGACAGTGGCGGCGTAGCATGGGTTGGCACCCGGGGCATAGCACAGCACAGCACCCCCCGTCATAAGTCCTTAATGTAAGTAAGTTGGGTATACATATACCCCAAAATGGTCCTCCCTTACGCCGCTGGTGGCTGGACCCTACGACTGCTTAACCCTACGACCACTCGAACCCTCCGACAACTTATATNGCGAGTACCTGGTCCACAGGTTTCCCGTGTATAGACTCTGACAGTATGCTTTAAACAGAGTGATCTTGACATGGTCATTACATCGGGCAAACCTGCGAGCCAACATAACACCTTACTGCCAGCGCCCTTCGTTCCCTCTCGATATCAACATGATCTTTAAGGTCATCAGCAACGTAGTGTCCGAGATATTTAAATTTAGCCATTAAGCAAGAGGTCGGGTACCACGTTTGGACATTTACTGGCGGCCTTAAATACCATGGTATTCGCTCTTCTTCACAATATACAATTAGCCATGGCATTTAGCATACATTTCACACACACCCACCATCTTCCTGAGAGCCCCCATTGTTGGCGCCAGCAGTACCATATCATCAGCGTAGCTTATGTTGTTGATACAAACACCATCTACCCAGCATCCGATACGCATACTGCTAAGGGCAACAATGAGGTCATTTACGTATAGGTTGAAAAGCCTGGGAGACGTCAGCCCACCCTGTCTCACCCCGCACTGCAACCCATACTCCTCAGAAAAAACGTTAGCCCATCTTACGCTGTTAATCTGGTTAGCATACCAATAATGGAATATTTGTGATACTTCTGACGGGATGCCCTGCCTCCTCATCTTATCCCAAAGGATGTCATAAGACACAAGATCGAACGCCTTGGAGAGGTCGAGGAAGCATGCGTAAATGAGAGTCCCCTGATCCGTGTAGTACCTGACAGTGTGCTTAAGACTAAGGATGGCGCTCTCGGTCGACAGTCCAGGCTTAAACCCGAATTGAGCATCATGTGATTTTAAATATTTATCTAGTAGAGAGTCAAGCACACTGTCAAGGACCTTTGCCGTGATTGTAGCTGGAGAGATCGGTCGGGTATTAGCATGGTCTATCATATAAGGTAGGTATTAAAGTGCTACAGTTCTGGGGACGTTTTGTCCCATTGTTCTTTAAGCTTTGTTTTTAAATGAGAAGGTTTTTTATTAGTTTACGAAAAGACGTTTTTTTATTCATTTCTTGTATGTTGACTATTGTGTAAGTCTAAGTAAGAGTAGCTTGGCATATTTTTCAATCAAAATCCTCATTGGTGTAAATATATATTTTTTCTGAT